AGCGCTTGCAGTATGCTAGACTCTTACAGACGTGAGTTTTCGATCTTAAAGACCCCTGTGTCCATAAGAGGAAATGAGGGGCAGGCAGTTTCTGGGGGCTAATCTCTGTTGAGTCACCATGGTCAGATATTACTAGGTTATCCACCCCACACAACTAATCAATATTCATCCCCATCACAGAACACTGGACCCCTCTGCACCCACATTGCTCCTGGCATCCCAGCCAGGGGCTTGCAAAAGCGCCCTGTGCTAGAATTCCAGACCCCTCCCCAACCACCAAGCTCCCGCCTGAGCACAGCCTGTTCTCCCCCCACTGAGGATCCTCATGATGAGGTGAGACTTAACAAGTGGCGCAGACCGGCAGCATTGCATCTGTTTGCAGCCGCAGACACTTTACCTCCAGTGAAGTCTGACACCTGTCCCTGTGGCAGGCTCCTTCCGCTCAGGGCCTGCCCTGGGGGTTCCCACTGCCTCTGGACAGGACAGGCTGCAGGCCTTTCTTGTTTGTTGTTGTTGTTGTTTGTTTGTTTGTTTGTTTGTTTGATGGGGGGTGCTGCAGGGCTGACTTTGGCCTGCTGTTGCTCAGTACCCCTCACTAGGCAGCAGCTCTCTCTGGTCTCCCCTGGGGCTGCCTGTTGCAGGTGTCCCCAGGGACTTTTCTGCCAGCCCTGGAGGATGCCCCTCCTTCCCTGCCTGTCTCCCTGTCCTCATAGCCAGTCCTAGCTCTACCATTTTTTTTAAAGATTTATGTATTTATGCATAAAAGCTGGGGTACAGGCCAGAGGTGTGAGGGGGTGAGAGGATTCACCAGGAACAGAGTGGGAAACAGAACAGGCAGATTGACCAAAGTACACTGCTGAGGGGAGCAGCAGGCAAGGCAGGAAAGGTCTGCTGTGCCATGTGGGTAGCTCCCTGGCCGGCCGGGGGGTAGAACTCATGCTACAGAGGCTGCAGACAGCTTTGTAGATTGCATCTTAACCTCTTGTGCCACCAGGGAGCCCCCCACCCCCCAGCTCTACCTTCTCAGTAGGAGTCACCTTGGCTGTTTCCTCCTCGCTCTTCCCAAGTCAGACCCACTCTGTCCATCCCCGGGTAGTGTCAAGCTGTGCTGTCTACTCTGCGGTTACTGACCACGCATGGCTACTGAGACCTTAAAATACACGTAAGTGTAACATACACACCAGTTTTAAGGCTTAGTAGAAAAAGAATACAAAATCTCTCATTGATAATTTTTCTCTCAATTAAATGCTCAAATGACAACATTTTACTATATTAGGGTGAATATAGCATTGCATTAAAATCGACCACTTAAGGTTTCTTCTAATTTATGTGGCTTCTAGGAAATTTAAAATCACAGGAGGGCTAAGTTCTGGCTTTAATGACTGCAACTTGAGTTTCACTGGTGAGGGAAGGTTCGGGGGTGATATTTCAGGGTTCTTCATTTGCTTTTGCAGCTGATTATCTCCTGGAGAGTCTATACTTGAACCCACAACACCCAACCAGCATTCGCTTCCTTTTCAAACCTCACTGAGTCTGTGTAAGAAAGTCATGTTCTCCCATTAATGTAACCTTAACCTTAGTCCCCATGGAACTTGCTGAAAGGCCCCTCACTCATATGGAAGTGTAATGACCCACAGCAGAGACTCCCACTCATTGGGAGGGGGTACAGCATGTCACGGCTTCCCAGGCCAGTCCAGCAGCCCGTGCTGTTTCTCTCACTGGTGCAAGGTCTCGTGTAGATGGTGCATCCTGCACTCACTGGATAAATGGAGCACGTGTAGACAAAGGGGCAAAAGAAACCATAGGCATTCTGGAGGCCTGTCCATACCAGCAGCCTCTGCCCCATCTCCCAGAGGACACAGCTATGCTTACTGTCCAGCACACTTGGATAACAGGGAGACAGAAATAGGTCCACTTCGTACTGCAATAATGGTTAGGCCGGAGAAGAATAAGATGAAACCCCAAGCTTAACTCAAGGAGGCCCACACCAAGGACCCTCAGAGAGGTCCTGGGGGTCAGGGATGTGGAGGAACGCAGATCCAGACATCAGTAAACTTTCCTAACAAAGGTCCAAGGCCCAGTCCCTCAGAAGCAGCCTTTGGGGGCCAGGAGCATCTCCACCAGCCAGTCGGGAAGAAGAAGAGCTGCAGAGTACTTGATCTGGGTCATGTAGGGCCTTGAAGGTCATACTCAGAAGCCTAGGTTTTAGCTGAAAGACAACTCTCGGGAAAACAGTGACGCACTCGTTGCCACCAGGAGGCTGGCCACTCTGTCCTTCCTGAGCAGGTGCACCTGGAGTTGCTGGAGCACAGAGACAGCTTGTCATTGACTCACCTGGGTGCCAGGCAGCACGTAGGCTGGGGAGGCCTGCCAGTGAGAGCATGAAGCCACACTAGCTCAGCATTTGGTGCACCAGGTAGCCTTCCGTGGGCAGTTCTGCATTTATAATCTCACACAGCAGAGAGGTGGCACAGAGCAATGGAGGACTGTCGTTGGTTTCTTGAGTGTACAACAGAATCAATGGTAGGTAATTGTAACTCCTAGTCTTTACAGAATATTTTGAATGCATTGGGTTAAATTGTACCACATAAGTGGTTTAATGAGTTTGATTCTGAATTGAGGCCCCCTTTTGAGAGGTACAGAGCCTCGTTGGATACCAATCAATGGAGCTCCTGCCGTAAGCATCGTACTCTAAGAAGGAAGGTCACAGATGGGGATGGGACATAGGGCCCTGGCCCCGCAGAGAGAGGTCCAGCCCACCAGCCTCCAGTCTCTTCCTGTAAGAGCCCCTCCACACCTCTCCTGGATCCCCCCACAGAGCCTGCTGGCTCCAGCCTCTCTCCCAGTCCTGGAATTAATAAAGACTCTGAGCAGACTGCGGTTTGCAAGTCTGAAAGCCAGTTCCTGCCCACGTCACAGCCCCAAAAGGAGTGGGGCCCAGCTCTCCCCAGCACCCCTTTCCTTCTCTCTTCCTGGGAGGGGGAGGCACATCGATGTACCCCCTGACCTACTCCTCCCCCAGCAGGTATCTCTTAGATTCTGAATCTCAGACCCTGACCCCCAAGCAGCCCAGACTCCCACCAATGAGGGCTATCTGGGGTCTGTCAGCTACCCCCAAGATACCCCCAAATAACATACATTGGAAGTAAGCGCTTGCTGTTTAAGCACAGCTTTTAGACTATTCCCCTAGTATGCCTACCCCCCTTCAAACTTGTGGAGCTGCTGCCAACCTGAGACCAGAGGAGAAAGGAATGGCCCAGAGTCCCAAGGTGGCCCAGCACACAGCCACGCCTAGTGGTTACGCTGAAAGCAGGTGGTATCTGAGCATCCGTACCAGTGCCTGCCTTGTCCATCAGTGTAGAATATTTGGGCTCCGGCAAGCACCACATGGCAGTATAGGACTACATTTTATTTATCTTTGCAATAACCCTCCGAGGCAGGGATATATATCATTTGACTGATGAGGAAACTGAACTTCTGTAAAAAGTTTACCACACTTGAAAGTACTAGAATCAGAATGTAACCCTAGGTCCCACTGCGTCTAGTGCCTGGCCTTGGCCATCTGTCTCCACTCCTGGCCGGCCCTGCTAGCCTTCCAGACTGCCGTGCTGCTCCTGGCAGGCAGAGGATTCCTTTAACTCCTTCCCTCTGAGCTCTGGCTGTATCCTCCCCCATTCTCCATCTGGATGCAAGGAAAACCTCACAGAACTCGTGGCCTTGACTTTTGTCCCTGACAGGCTATGGTCTAGGCCAATACCAGTTTCCCTCTCCTATCCTCTGGCTCCCAAATCTCTTCCCCACTTTTGGGGGCAGACATGACCCTCCTCTCCTTCCAGGTCCCTAGCCCCCTCCATGGCATAAGTCCCCAGGGATCTCATCCTGCCAGGAGGCAAGAACAGCAAGATCTCCTGGAAATGCTGGTCCCAGCTGTGTCAGCTCAGGGCTGCCCCCTCCTGACCACCAGAGGAATGTCAGCCTTGGACTTCCAGCCAGGAGGGGAGAAGCAACAGTCTGGGGGCTCCCTAGTCTGGTCTGGGTACTAGCAGTGCTCAGCCTTGGGACAGGTGGGGGCAATTAATAACGGGGAGCTGAGCTTCCTTGTCTAGATGGGGTCCCCAGCTCCCTGGTCCCCTGAAGAGCACTTTGGGGTCCGGACTGACCTTCACCAGACACTGTTCTGTGCAGGCCTGTTGTGGGACTGAGAACTTGATCCATGCAGAAGAAAACCCTTAGTGTGTCAGGTTCCCCCTCCTGCCCCCAGCTGACCCAGGGGACAACACCAACATAGTCTGACCTCCCAGGCCATTCCCCTAGCATAGTCCTCACCTCTGCAGACTTGGACCCCAGACCTGCCCAACACCTGGGCCCTATTTCAGGCAGGAGGCTGAGACCTTAGCCTATGCTGCATGGAGCGTCGTAGTGTGGCAGGGTCTTCCTTCCATCCCCAATGCCCCACTGAGCAGCAGTCTTCCCGCCTATAGTTCCTCACCTCTGCAGACACTGGCCCCCAAACCCCTGACCCAAGATGTGCCCATCAGGGATTTGCACAGGGACTGCCTCTAACCAGGTCTGGGGGTGTTGGGGGAGCCTGGAGGGCCGGGTGGGGGCAGAGGCGCAGGACAGCTGGCCTGTGTCCCCACACTGGGCCCGGGGCCCAGCCGGAGGGGCGGGGGCCTGGCCACTCAGGCCTTGGCTGGGGCTGGGATTTTTGGCCGGGCTGCAGGGCCCTCCCTCCTGCTTCCTCTCCCGAGGGCTGTCCTGGCAGAGGCCCCCCTCGCACTTTCTGGCGGGAACAGGGCCAGCAGTGAGAGAACAGCCACAGAGGGAAAGCAGGAGAGAGATGGGGGGGGGGGAACTGTGTGTGTGTATGTGTGTGTGTGTATATGTGTGTCGAACGAGTGTGTGTTTTAAGGAAAAAAGTCCACAGTCCAGTCGGTCCCAGCCCGGGAGGCTTGTGAGCCCGGCCTTTCGTAATTGCCCCCCTCCCTGCGGCCCCCTCCCCCAGGCCTCCCCCTCCTCCCGCCCTCCAGCCCGCCCTCTCTCCCTCCCTCCTTCCCTCAGCCGACGAGGCAGCAATTACGCTTTGGGGATAAAACGAGGCGCGGAGAGCGGGCTGGGGCATTTCTCCCCGAGATGGCGGGTCTGACAGCTGCAGCCCTGCGCCCCGGAGTCCTCCTGCTCCTGCTGTCCATCGTCCGCCCCTCGCAAGCTGGAGGTAGGCCTCGCCCTGTTCCCAGCCGGCCCGGCCCTCGGTCCTTGGGCCTCCCTGCCAGGTGCTTGGACTGACGGAGGAGAGGGCACCCTTTACCCCCTGAGTCTTCCATGGGTCCCAGGCAGGAGCCCCTTGGCCACCGGATCCGTGGAACTCCTCCTCCCCAGAGCTGGCCCAGGCTGCCGAGGAACCTGTCACACAGACTCAGAGTGGTCCCAACCCACTGTCCAGGTTCTGGTGTGCCGAGAGGGCCGAGCCTCCCACCACTCTGTCCTGGCTGCTTTCCCAGCAGAGGGATTGGGAGCACGGTGGATAAGGCCAGTGGGGCCCTCTTGGGTCCTCTGGCAACAGCAGTTTGCACACCTGTGGCCCCAGCCAGGTGTGCACGTGTGCCTTGGGGACAAGGGACCTGGGTTGGAGGCCAGCTGAGCCTCCAAGTTGTGTGACCTCAGCAGGTTCCTGGACCCCTGGGAAGACATAAGCCCCTCTGGGGAAGGTTAGGTTTGATTATTGGGTTGCAGTTTGGAAAACTGCCACTATGATCTGTCCCTGGTTAGGAGGGCTGGGACTTCCAAGCACTATGTGTGAGTGTGAGTGAACAAGTGTGTTGTGTGCTCTTGCACAGGTGCACATGTGTGTCAAATGTGCATCAAATATGTCATCAAATAGTGGAGGAGTTTGCTTGGAGGGGATGAATGCCTATTCACAGGCTTGTCGTGGACAGGGGTGTGTGTGTGTGTGTGTGTGTGTGTGTGTGTGTGTGTATTGGTGGGGTAGGTGAAAGTGCCTGTCAGCATGTGCCCCTGTCAGAAAGTGCCGTCACTCAACAGGCTGGTACACATGGGAGTTCTGGTGGCCAGGTGTGTCTCTAAGTGTGGACTATCACTGTGCATGTGGCGGTGTGTGTACCTGCATGCCCGTGCGTGTGAGGGGTGTGGTATGGAACCTGGGAAGCTGGGGAAGGGGGACGGGGCCCACCTCTGGGCACTGGGAGTGCAACAGTGGTAGAAGCTGGAGTGGACCTCAGCTCAGGCCTGGACATCTGGTGTGTGCCCTGCCTTGGGGCAGTTAATGCAGCTGAGGCTGTTAGGAGCGGCTGGGAGTGCCCCCCTGCCCCCAGGGGCTCATTTGCTGTGAGAAGAGAGAGGTGCAGACTCAGGAGCTATTTGGTGGGGTGACCTGGGTGGGGTCTGGTTTCTGTGGGAGTCCTTCTGGCCATGAGAACCAGACATCAGTGGGGGCCTGGGGGCACGGGGTGGAGCGGGGCCAGGCGGAGGGCTGGAGTAGGAGGCTGGGCAGGAGCAGCAGCTGTTTCCGTGAGATTGCACGGCTGGCAGGACCTCTGGGAGCAGGGCTTCCTGCACAGGGGTCAGCTCCTGGCCCAGCTAGGACATGCACACCTTCAGGTGGGGCGCAGCAGGGGAGCAAGACAAGCCCTGAAGACCTGCAGCTCTGGTGCCTGAGAGCAGTAGCTCGGGACCCTGCTGAACCCCCTCTAGGTGTGCACCCCCTCTATACACACACACATACACATACACACACACACACACATACACACACACTGACTCCTGCACACCTTCCTTCCAGGCAGGGCTTCCACCCAGAGTATGCAGTAACCCCCACAACAACCCTGACAGCTGGGGATGACCATCTTCACTCTGCAAGTGGGGGAATTGAGGCTCAAACAGTCTAAGGCAGCCCCCCAGGATTAGTATCAACCTGTTCTCTGCCCTGGGCCAGGTGGTGAGGGAGTGGGGGGCAGGTACTGGAACATTTGGGGAGGGGGAAGCCTGGGGTTGAGTTCTTTGGGGGATGAACACCCTAGAGTAGAATGTACTCTCTCCTCGTGTCCCAAGTAACACCACTAAATGTTCTGCTGACCTCGTTCTTCCTTTGCAAACATAAATCTCCTCTCTGTCCCAAGTCACCAGAGGAACTGGATCCAAATAAGGGGTGTGTGAATTGATGAGGTGTTCTGGGGCAAAGTCTAGAAGTTGGGAAGTAGGAGGAGCCACACACAGAGACATACACACCACACACACTCATTCTCACACTTTCACATGCATATTCTCCTTCTCTCTCTCTCACGCACGCACACATACACACACACACAGCCACCCACCTAGCTGTTCTGGGGAATCCAGTCTTCCCCTCCCCAACAGGTAGCACCCCACATGTTCCTTGGCTCCAAAGAATCCTGTTGCCAGTGGAGGGAAGAAAAGGCCTGCCTGGAAAGACTGTGATGACAGGGTCATCTCAACCCATTTAGGATGGGTCAGAGTGACTTTGAGAACCAGCTGCCCCCAGCCCCCATGTCATTTAAAAAGAAAGAAAAAAATTAATTCAGGTCTATTAATTCTCTCCCCCCGGAAATATTATCTGTTGTTTTCCCCCTGATTTTGGAATTGAAGATGTTTGGAACAGAGGTTTTCAGCCCTGGCTCATATTAGAGTTACCCCAGAAACTCAACAATTCCCAGGCAGGGTCCCATCCAAGAATTCCTGCTTTGTTGGGTCTGTGGAGGGTTCCAGACCTAGAAGTTTCATAAAGCTGCCCAGGTGACTCTGGGGAGACTCTGGTTGGGGGTGATCCTTTTCTCTGTGTCTGCTGGAGCCGAGGCAGGAGGGCAGATTTGCCCAGAGGAGGGAGGGGACAGTCACCCTCTGGAGGACAGATTGTTTTTGAAAAATTCTTGGCAGCTTTCTCCATGCAAACAACAAACAGCTTCGTGAGGTCTTATCTGCTCCCCAAGCTTACCCCCTAGACTTAGGCTTGGCAAAGCCCCCTGCCAAGACCTGCTGGCCCGCTGCTTGCTCCAAATAGCCTTCTCGCAGATCTCTGATCCTGTACCCCAGGGCCCAGGCAAAAGGCCTTGCATATGACTGGGGTCATCGGTGGGTCATCTCACTGGCGCTTGGTTTCCTGAGCTGTAAAATGGGAAGAAATATCCCTGCCCTGCCTATCTCCTAGGACAGTGGGAAGCTCCAACAATATAATAACTGAAGAAAAAAAAAAGCATCAAATAAGAGAACTGTAGAAATGTGCATTTTAAAAACAATATATAGTCTCTTATTCAGAATTTGCTGAGTCAATTGGCCCCATGGGTTTAATTTCCCCTCTTGTACTCGCCCCACATTTTGTCTAGTGGGGGGAAGGGGCAGCCATGTGTAAGCAGAGGTGCAGTGATGGAGAAGGCAGGCAGGCCTGAGAGAAGGGGTGGTCCGGAGGAGTCCCAAGAAATCCAGGAAGGCTTCACTGCAGAAGTGACATTTGAATTAGGCCTTGAAAGGTCACCTTTGGAGGGGCTGTGCCACAGAGAAGAGGTGAACCACTTTCTCAGGAGCTCTGGGAGGCAGAATTGGCAGGACAGAAGGGCAGATTGTATCTCAGCAGGAGGGAACCCTCACCTGATACCATAGGAAGTAGGGCTGATACCATAGGTGGTGGTGACTTTCCTGTCCCCGGAGGCATGCGAGCAGGAGCACAAAGGGGTTGCTTGCAGAAGGTGTTTCAGCCCAGGCCAGAAGGCTGTTATGATCACTGAGAGTCTAGGATCATAATTCTAGGTTGCAAGAGACAAGTCCCACCCTGGGCTAGCCAGTGAAATGAGCCAAACCCACATAAAACAAGACAAGTGTGCTCCAGGCCAACTGCTTTGGGCCAGCTGAGCAGCACAAGCTCAGGGAAGGCAGGAGGGAGAACTTGCTCTAGCTCAGTCTGGGTGGAAGGGTAGGACTTGGAATGAGGTGAGGGCATTCCTGGCAGGAAAAACGACTCCTGCCAAGGGGTGGAGGTGGGAAGGAAGAAGACCCGCTGGAACACTGGAGGAGGCTCCTATCTTCTTTAAAGCCCTCGATTGACTGCTGTCTGATTTTATTCTCTCCTCTCCCACACTTGAAGAGAGGCAGGCAATGCATGGATCTGTTACACCACCCATATCCTCGGTGCAAGATGGGGATCAAATTCTTTAAATCCTCAGACTGTCCTGATTCAGACATGAAGTTTGGCAACTACCTTTAGGATCTGAATCATGGAGGTGGAAAATGGGGAGAAGGTAAATTTGGGGAGACAGGGGCTCACATAGGAGAGAAGAGGGCAGAGAAGGAAGGTTGGGTATGGAACAGCAGTATGTGGGAAAGGAAGTGGGGGTTCAGTCAGGCAGGAGGGCTATACCAGTCATAGGTGGAGAGATGCCTGGGGTCATTGGGGATGGGAAAGGTGGGACCCAGACCCACAGGCAATATCCTTCCCTCACCTGCACCCAATCTACCCATTTATTCAATACTACTATATACCTGGCCCCAGGTCATGTGTTGTGCAGTGGAAACAAAGGGTCACCTTTTTTTTTTTTTTTTTTTGCGTAATTATTGCGTGCCAGGTTCAAGGGGTGATGTGTCTTACTTAACAACCTGTAAAAAATACTTGCAAGGCAGCAGTTATCAACCTCACTTTGCTAAAGATGAAACTGAGGTTCAGGGGGATTAAGCAACTTGCCCAAGGTCACAAAGATGGTAAGAAATGGCCCAGCCAGGGTTAGAGATCACATGGGGCTGTCCAGAGCATCTTGTCCCTCTACTTACCAGGCTTGCTGTTCCTCCACTCTGCTCTGGAGTCAGAGCAGAGAAGTGTAGTGGGGACAAGAAAGGCCAGAAGGAGAGAGCTTGGGGCAGAAAAAAGCCTGGAGCACGACAGGGAAAGGCACATATTAGACGTGCTCTGAGCTGGAGGCCGGAGCCAGCGAGGAAGGCATCAAAGCCCCGAGGCAGGCCATGTGTGCGCTTGGCAGGCGATGACAGGACCAGAGCGTTCTTTCCCAGCAGGCCCAGCCTCCTGGGGCCACAGCTTCGAGTCCCAAGGCTCTGACCAGATTGCTTGCACACTCCAGGCCTGGATTGCAGTTCCTGGGGGGCCGCAGGCCTGGGGCCGGAGAGGCGGGGGCAGGAGGGGTGGCGCCGGGGCTTTGGCACAGGATGGTCATGACAACTTGGCATCCCCTACCCTGCTGGGCTACAGCTGGGGCTGATGCGGCCTGGCCCAGCTGGGCAGTGTCGCCAGGCCATGGAGGCCAGACGTCTGGCCACACTACAGAGCTGCCTGACACTGTCCCCCCAACCCTGCCTGTGCCCCTTTCAGCAGGGTGGTGCTGGGGCTCGGAGCGTGGGTCAAGGTCACAGTCTTTCTGTGGTGGTGGAGTCAGGGCCAGGTCCACACCAGGATTGTCTGTTGACATGACGACGTGCAGGCTGGGTCTGCAGCCCAGCATCACAGCGTCCCCAGTGAGAGCTTCACTTGTCCGTGGGGGCTGAACTCGTATTCTTGGCTGGGCTGATGGCCCTTGGCCTGGGCCATGAATTAGCTTTTCCTTAGGAAACTATTCACTTTGCTCATTCATGCTATCCCCCTCCCCCCTCCTTGAGAGGGCCCGGCGCCTCATGAGACAGCCTGTGTCAAGCAGCCAGCCAGAAACTTCACCCAACCCCCGCTGCCCAGTGACTGAGGACGCTGACCTCACGCTATCCTATCAGTGTGGGAATGGCCCCATTTTTTGCTGGCAGCAGTCACACTTCCTTACCGCTCACTGTGGCAGCCCTGCCTGCCCTCCCTCAACTGTCCCTGCCCTCCTCAGGGCTGGAAAGAAACAGGCTCAGACCCAGTTAGGCCCGTGCTGGGCCCTCTCCAAGGGGCAGTGGAGAGCAGGTGAGGCAGTACAAACTGTCACACTCCGAGAGGGGCCTGGTTTGAGGCCAGACTCCATCTCTCCCAGCTGTGTGGCCCCAGGCACATTCCTTAAGCTCTCTGAGCCTGAACTCACAACTGTTGAAATGAAGATGTTAATCTCTGCCCTTCCAGCCTCACAGGGCCACTTTCAGAAGCATGAATGAGAAAATGCTTTGTAAACATAAATTGTTTTATAGATGTGTGATAGCATCCTGACCTGAGACAGTTCTTAGTTCCGGCTAATGGAGGACTCTATCTGCTTCCTTCCAGGGGTCCCAGGTGCTATTCCTGGTGCAGTTCCTGGAGGAGTCTTTTACCCAGGTAAGGTACTCGAACTTCCCCATCAACAGCTGAAACAGATCATGATGATTTGGGAAGAAAAGCACATTTTGACATTGCGGAAGGGAAGAAAGTTGGCAAGTAGGAGCCACAAGTCCCGCCTACTTTGAAAAGCGGTCAGCGTAACAGCTGTCAGGAGCTTACATTTTCTGACAGCGTATCACAGTGCGGGTGAGGCTAGAGAAGTGGGCCCTTCACACTCCTGCCAGTCAGAGTCCTAAAACTGTTAGATTCCTAGAACCAATGGATTCCACTCTTGGGAATTCATTCAAAGGAAATAATTGGAAAAAAAAGAGAAAAACAACAATCTGCAGTGAGGCTTATAGGAGTGGCGCTTGCAAAAATGTAAAGCCAGAAAGCCACCTGGCTGGAGAGTGTGATGAAGTAAACCCTGAAACATGACTCCATTACTAAAAAGTAAAAATCCGCAATCGTGCAATATGGCGAGATGTTTTACAAGTAAAAACAATATGAAAGCAATGATTACGGAGGATGGAGGCCGGGAGCCCCACCCCCCGAAGAGAAAATTGGCAGAATGTGGAAGCAATGGTATCGGGGGCCGAGTTTCTTTTAATGTAGGAAAAAAGCGTAACACTTTAAAGTTGAAAAATCAAAGTAATCTTTTCAATATTTAAGAAGCTCATAAGTGTTCAGAACTGATGTCAATGGGAGGGCAACTCCTGGGGCACTCCAGACCCAAACTGCACGGGCTGTTGGCCCAAGGAGGAAACAGGCTCACAGAGATCACTTAGCTAGACCTTGCATTGAGGGTGGTTTTCTTTGGGGAGTGCTAACAGCTCTCTCTCTCTCTCTCTCTCTCTCTCTCTCTTTCTCTCAACTTAGGGGCTGGTGTCGGGGGCCTGGGAGTAGGAGGTAAGCTCAGAAACCAACACTGGTTCCTCACCAACAGCATCTGGGTATCACTCTAGCCCATCTAGGTCCTCAGACCTCAGAACCCCAGAAGGCCCAAGCAGCAAGGGCACCTCTTTTCACAGACCAAGCATCCAGTGGGGAAAGACTTGTCTGAGAACTGGAGCCCATGGCCCCAGCCTTTCCCCCTGGGCTCTTTCCCTGCGGCCTTGCCTTCTTTCATATTCTTTGAAGCCCACTACATCCTTGAAGTTGGCTGAGCAAGTGTCTCTGTCCCCTTTGGAAGCTGAGAAACTGAGTCTCAAAGAGTATAACCACACGTCAAAGCACAGTCAGGCTTTCCACCCAGGTGTCTGAGTACTAGGCTCCCATGGACTCCCTGTCCAGATAAGGGGACCCTCCCTGAGAGCCCTTTTGGGACTTGGGGGGCAGGACCCCATAATGCCCTCACTCAGCCCTGGGGGATAAATAGGACTGGAACTAGAACTACTGTTCACTGCCATCTCTTCCCTCTACAGCATTGGGGCCTGGAGGCAAACCACCCAAACCAGGTAAGATCAGAGCCTCAGAGCACCAAGAGAAAAGGGGAAGGGGGTGCACAGAGTGGTGGACCCAGCAAGGGATCCAAAGGTCACGAGAAGGAAGGCAAGTACAAACTGGAACCACACCCCAGGGCTCCAGGGGCCCAGGTTGGAGGCAGCTGATGTCGTCTGGCATCTATCCTGCCAGTTCCCATGTGCCCAGTTTCCCAGAAACTCCCTTCTGCACAGGGTTTCAGAGGCAGCCCTGGTGCTGGGGCTTTTGGCTGATGTTCCAGTGGCTGCCAGGCCTCGAGCTCAGACACAAATAGTAGGCCCCAGACTCCTCCAGGGTCATCCTCTGACCCAGACCAAGCCCTCTCTAAGCCCAGACAAAGACCCTAGATATACCTGACCTTGATGACTATCTGAGCCCAGACAAGTCCTGAACTTTACCCCAGGCTGAACCCTGATTCTGGCCCCAGAGGAGGTCCCATCCTAATCCCAGTTCCCTTCCAGCTGTGTCCAGACCATGGAGTTTTCCAGTAAGAAGATGTGGCTAGATCTGCCTGGCCTTGCTCCTGGGGTCTACCATTAGCTCCATGGAGTAATCCCCAGGAAAAAGGGAGGGAGGGCCCTTCAGGAAGCACTTGTGGGTAAAGAGCAGGTGGAGGGAATAGCATCTCTGCAGATTTATGGGCCCGTCAGCATGAGAGGCTCCACATGTGGCCTTGGCACTCACCCTCTGTGTCTCCCAGCTCTGAAACCCAAGGCTCCAGAATACAGTTTGTATGTCCAACAGCTCTTACGAAATCACAAAGTTCAATGATCCAACTGCAAATGAATCTACAAGATTCCCCTGGTTGTGAAACTCCAGGGCTGGGGTCAGGCAATAGAGAGGCGAGAAGTTGAGGGGGGCAGGGGAACAGTGGCGGCAGCCTGAACAAGGGCTTTCCTGGGTGCTGCGGGGGTCGGCAAGCCAGGAGCCCTTAGGTTGCACTGCTCATCCTGCCAGAATCCTCATCTTGTCTTCCCAAGAGCTGAGCCCTCTTAACAGGATCTTTGTTGATGTAGAGAACGCAGAGGCAGTCTAAATCAGCAAAGCCGGGGGTGGTACTGCTCTTAGCCCAGCAGCTAGAGGGGTCTTGGTTGACCCCATTGGCAGCAGAGAACACATGGCAGGTTGTGATTGAACACTGAGGGAAGGCAGAGAAAACTGCCTCCAGAATCCCATAGTGGACAGCCACTAAAGTGAAACTTGCATTGAGGAAAGAGTCAGCTTAGCTGTCCAAAAGAAAGTCCAGCTTCAGGTAAAGGAGTAGACTGGAAGGAAATTAGGCCATCTGGTGAAAAGGGGCTGAATTCCATGACCCCCCCCCCCAATCTTCTTTCAGTCTGGGGACGCAGGGTTACAGAGGCTGGGGCAGGGCCACACAGCCGCACATCCTGGCGTGTGGAAGCCTGGGCCTGCCCCTGGCGGAGTGCAGGCAGCGTGTGTCGGACTTGGGAACAATTAATCCCTTGGCCAATTAATCCCTTGGCGAGCAGACGGTGGGTGGCCTGGCAGCTGTTCTGTGGGGGCCTTAGGGGGCTGGCCCTGCTTCGACTCTCGGCAGGAGACCAGGCAGCTGGGAGCCAGTACCACCCACATCCTAAGCACCAGCTGGAGGCCAACCACCCACCTGAGAGGACAGGAAGGGTCACCTATTGGGCACCCTGGCAGGCTACATGAACTCAGTGCTTTCTGTTCACAAGCCCACTGGTCCCAGGAAGGCCAGGGCCATAATGACCATTTGGTATGGGGGAAACTGAGTCACAGAGAAGCGATGTGACTTGCCCGTGCACTAGAAGAGTAGGTGGGCAGAAGGATTTGAGTCTAGTGTTCTCTGACATCGGGAAAAGGGAAGGTTGGGCTGGCCAGGCCCCTGGGCTCCCAGCTGTGAGCAGTCCCTCACGCCTCTTTCCTCCTTTCCAGGGGCTGGACTTGGGGCATTTGCGCCAGGTGAGTCCACAGGAAGGAAGTGGAGGGGGGAAGGAGCTGGTCATCCCAGAGGGTGGCCTGGGGTGGGAGCCTGGGAAAAGGGCAGATGGATGTTTAGGGGCTGTCTTCTTCCTGTCAGGCCCCATCTTCTCTCCCCAGTGCCTCTGTGGTCAGGAAAGGTCTGAGCATGTCGCCTGCCCTCTTGGAGCTCAGGAAACAGGCCTGGTGCAAGAGAAGATCCTAACAGAGCTGGGGAAGGGCAGGGCCTGTGGTGGGAAGTGAACTGGCTTCGCCACACCTGCCCAGGGTTAGAGACCCATCTTACAGGGGTGCTGACTGAGTTTCAGAGGAGTTAGCTCACACAAGTAGGAAATTGAGGAAGGGAGGGGGATGTGGGGCGAGAACACACCCAGTGAAAGCCAGGGAGACCCTCTAGGGCTCAGCAGTCCTCGTGTCTGGGCTCTATCCCCAGGGAGGTCCCCTTGGCCTTGGGACGCTGGCAGCCAGGACTGGCACTTGCAGAAGAGAATCTCACATAATTGGAAACAAATCCCGCATGATTGTGAACTCCAACTTGATTGCCCATCAGTCCTGGCCAAGGCCATGGAATGTCCCCTGGAGGGGTAGATGGAGCAATTAGGTCCAGATGTGGGAAGGAGAGAGCCAGAGGGACCCATTTGGCTTCTCATAAACATTTTAGCATCCATCTGCAAGTAAGGAGACTCTTGGATGGCAGGGCAGCCTGGATGGACAGAAAGATAAATGGTGGGGGACCGAGGGATTCAGACACAGGAGGTGTGGCTTGATCCAGGGCACCCCTTCAAGAAAGAAGAGGAGCAGTCTGGAGTACTGGTACTAATGGTGGTAGCAGGACAGGCTCGGCCAGAGTATGGTCTTGTTGGCAGACTCTTCTCAGCTCCAGCCCTCATAGAAATTTCTGCTGGGTCACCCTTCTAGGAGAAACAAGGCCTGGCCCAGGCACATTAAGGGGAGTCAATGCAATAACATCTGCATGGCACACAGCAGCTAGTCCTTAAAAAGAGACTGCTGTTGTATCAGGTTCGACTCCCAAGTACCAAAGACTTGGGGGCAGCTTAAGGGCCTGAGTGGCTGCACACTGGCCACAGACTATCAGTCTGTGGTCAGTCTTGGCCCATGGAGCAGTCTTGTCCCTGCTCCATGGTCCAGGAATGATGCCCCCACACCAGCCTCCCCTCAACTGTCTGCTTCTTCCCACAGGTGCTGGAGCTCTCCCGGGTGTTGTCCCCGGGGCAGGTTAGTGTTGACACCCACGCAAGATATCCTCTGGGCACCAGAGCCAAATCCAGGGCAGCTGGCCAATATGAAAGGTGGTCAGGGTCCGGGGGTGGGCCAGGCCTGTCCTGGGCAGTGGCATAAATGCTGAGACCACCTGCCCCAAACAGCTGCCCAGGTCACGAGGAAGCCACAGCTGGGCTCTGGGTACATTATAACATTGTCGTGAGGACAGGACAGAGGAAACCCCATGGGCCAAAAGACTCCAGAAGTGTCACTCGGCTCAGCAAGGTTTCAGGAAGGTTTTCCAAAGGGGGTAGGTGTGAAAGTTTGACCCTGAAAGACCCCTGCAGTTTTGTCAGGCCAAAGGGAACAGTCTGGTACTTTTGCTCTCCAACCCTCACTCCGGGCCGGAGCAGCGTCACCACTTGGCATGGAAGTCCTGCAGAAGCAGAAAAGCCTGAGCTGTGCCTCCCAGGTGGGACAGGGTCAGGTGTCCTGGGGCTTGGGCCTTCACCCTGAGCTCCCTCCACAGGGGTGGGAGCCTTTCCTGGAGGAGCTTTCCCAGGGGGACTAGTACCTGGCGGAGCTGCTGGTGCTGCTGCAGCCTATAAAGCTGCTAAGGCTGGTAAGTGTTTGGGACGTGCCCTCCAGCCTACGGGCTCTCCCCTTTGCAAATAACCTTCCTTGGGAGGCAGGCAGGTGGGACCCTCATCTCCAATCTATTACAACTCATGGGAGGCAATGAGCTGTGCCCAAGTCTCAAAGTGTGGTGGCAGGGCCACACCGCAATGCTGGGCCTGCAACACGCAGCCCAGGACCTCCCGTCTCCCAGTGCTGTTTGCACGATCCCTCGCCTCGCCCACTCCTGGTTCTGCAGGTGCTGGACTCGGTGGTGTTGGAGGCGTTCCTGGCGTTGGAGGCATTCCTGGTGTTGGAGGCATTCCTGGCGTTGGAGGCATTCCTGGCGTTGGAGTGTCTACAGGTAGGTTGGCCAGACCTGAGTTGCCCAGGTGAAGGCTGCAGGTCCTGATGGAACCCACTCTGATGCAGCCCCTTCCATGCCAGGTGCTGTGGTGCCTCAGCTCGGAGCAGGAGTTGGAGTTGGAGCGAAGCCTGGGAAAGTGCCTGGTCAGTGTGCAGACCCTGGGGCTGGCGGGCAGAAGTCAGGGAGGGCCAGGGGCCCCCACCTCCACAATGGGCAGGAAAGTTGCGCCCTGGCTGTTGCAGAGCGGGAAAGTCAGCCAGGTCCAAAGCGTGGTGCCATGTCCACAACCAGGCAGAGGTGTCCCAGTCTCCCTTCTGGGTCCTTCTTCTGGGGTCTTGGAACAGAAAGAGACCTCAGAGACAGACTCTGGTGTGCTGTCAGGTGATGTGAAGGCTCAGAATGGAGTGAGTACAGAGAAGCTCAGGCAGCAGCATAGCTAGGGGGGCCCAGGGGTGCTGCCTCCCCATCTGGTGCTAGTTCCTCTGCACGGAGCCCTTCAGGAAGTGACTTCAGGTTGAACAAAAGGCTGTCTGAGTCCACACAGCAGGGAGGGAACATCTGGAAGCTGTTGGCCAGAGGTGGGTTGGGCCGACCATGTAAACAGGCTCCGGGAGACAAGATAAATCCACGCACAGAAGGGGAGGCAGATGACTTCCGAAACTCGTGGGAAGAGGGCTTCGGCCACTGGACACATGTCCCTGGCCGCCCCCGCCGGGCCTTGGCAAGTCTGGCTCTGGAGCTCCAGAGCTGCCTGCCCTAGAAGGACCAGGGAGGGGTTCCTGGAGGCCAGGTTGCTGCTCACTGCTTCTCCTTCTTCTGGCCACAGGTGTGGGGCTGCCAGGTGCATACCCAGGTGGAGTTCTTCCAGGAACAGGTGAGAGCAAGGAGAAGGGGACCCTGTGGCAAGGAAAGCAGCCCCTGTCAGGCTCCCTGGTAGACCTTACATCTCCCCAAAGCAGAAGGCACCAGAGGCATGGATCCTGACCTGCCCTGTTTCCCTACACACCAAAACTCAGGCCACAGGTCCCTGCAGGTCTCTCCCACAAAGGGCAGTCAGCCCCCACCCCAACCTAAACCCTGACCCCAGCCCAGCCCAGATCGTCATCACAGCCTGAGGTGGGTCCCTAAGGACACACCAAGTTTTCAGTGTGGCCAGATGTTTCCCAAAAGCCATGAGTCACCAGGGCCCCACCCAGCATATCCGCCCTGCGGGGGACCCCTCAGTGCTCTCACCTCCTCTCCCTGCCAGGGCCTGGCCACCCCACCTAACATGTGATCTTCTGAATTCCCCCAAAAGCCCAGATTCAGACTCTCCCTCCTGGCCCAGCCACAGGGAAAGAGGGGAGGTGGGAGCTCCAGATGCTGGCAGATAAGGAGTTGGGGCCCCAGCAGATGGCAGCTTCAGGTTTGATTGTGAGTGAGCGTCATGAGAGAGTCCCCAAAGGGAATGGGCTTCCCCCTTCACACTGGCTGTTTCATGTCCACCTTCTCTAGTAAAGGTGGGCAGAACTGCTTGAAACTGACTCCAATTCAGAGAAACCAACTTAGGCACCAGCTCATGTGGCTGGAAATGGGATTAAACTCAGGTCCTCTAACCTTGGGTCAGATAAGGAAGGAAAGTTACCCTATGAGCTGGGGTTCTTACTGACCATGTTGGAGATCAGTTGTGTGACCTGAGAGGGTATGGGTGCTGAGCTGGACCCTGCCCTTATGCCCTAACCTCTGTACCCCCTCAGGAGCTCGGTTCCCAGGCGTGGGGGTGCTCCCTGGAGTTCCTACAGGAATAGGAGTCAAGCCCAAGGGCCCAGGTATGCAACCAGCTGGACTAGGGGGCCCATGGTGAAGATCTTCACCCACCCTCAGGACCCTCTGGCCTGGAGTGATGGTGGGGTGGGGGGACCTGGGCTCAGGGCCCTCCAGTTGGGCACCGCTTATGCTCCAGTCCTCATAAAGGTGGCCGAGACAGGCAGCACACCTCCCTGGGTCCTCACTGTGTGTGAGGACAGTGTGGTCACAGTGGAGGTCTGGGCAGAACTAGTCACAGCTTGGGCGGCCTGCCCCTTGGTGCTGCCTGAAGCCAGCCAGTGGTGCCTCTGTGTCCAGTGCCATGGCGACTGGGCTCCATGACAGTATCTTGTCATTGCAGGTGTAGGTGGAGCTTTTGGTGGAATCCCAGGTGAGCCTTTAGCTGCGTGGGCAAGCCAGCAGGTCGGCCAGCCAGGGAGCAGCCTTGCCCTGGGGGGGAGCGGGCCTGTCCTATTTCCCTCATGCATCCTGCTCCAAGCTTTGGTTGGCCTCTGCACACAGCAACATCAGTCACAGGCCTCTTCCCCCACCCAACCCTTCTGACCGTGTCGCGGTCCCCAAACCCACTCATCTATGCAAGATGCAGCCAAGGCTGCAGACTCTGTGGCCCAAGCCCTGGGCGGAGGGAATCCTGCACCTTCCTCCATGGCCCATCCTGGGGAGTACCCAGCTCCCCAGAGACAGGGAGACAGGGGTCCCATTTAGCAGGATGCAGTAGGGGCTCCTTCTGTCTGTGTGGAGTGGAAAGCAAGGCTATAGGCATAGCAGAGGTGGTTTGGCCAAGTTGCTGGGATCTGAGTTTGCCCTTCTTGTTCTCACAGGAGTTGGACCCTTTGGGGGTCAGCAGCCTGGAGTCCCTCTGGGTTACCCCATCAAAGCTCCCAAGTTGCCAGGTAAGTCTCCCATCAGCGCTGAGACATCAGCTTGAGGGGAGGAGGACTTGCTTGGCCTCCCAGGTCTCTGAGGGGCAGTTCAGAAAACCTGGATATTGAAGCCTACTTCAATATGCATGTGAGCACACAGACACCCCTGTTGGGAAACCATTAGTGTTGATGGTAAGAGATACTATTCATTGGCAGGACCCCTCTGACATCAACTTACCCTCACAATCAGCTCTGATGATGAGCTGTTTCCAGTTGGGGATGGAGAGCAAGGAATATACTCAGACTCCAGGGCCACGGTAGAGCCCTAGAGAATTTGCTGGATTTGGGGGAATGGGCATCCCATGGGGCTCTGAAGCAGGGAGACTCTGCTCTCCTGAGAGCCATGAGCAGCTCGTGACACTTGGGGGGCGAGGGGAGAGATGGAGTGTCCCAGGTGCTAGGCCCTGTGGAGGTAGTTCTGCCACCTAACCTGTAGGAGCTCAGCAAGGCCTGAGGCTGCCATGGGGAGCCCCTGAACTGGCCCCCTTCTCCTCAGGTGGCTATGGACTGCCGTACAGCACTGGAAAACTGCCCTATGGTGAGTAACGCTCCCCTAGACTGTGAACTTGTGGCTCTTTCCAGCTACAGGGCCCTGGCAAGGGCATTGTGGCTCCAGCCTGGGCTAGGAGAGCTCTGAGCTGGGGAAGGGGGAGGATCTTGGAATGGGAATCCCCTGAGGAAGGAACAAGGAACTTGGACAGCCTGGTTCTCAATCCTGTCTGTCCCACTTATCTCTGGGCCTTGGGAAAACCAGTTTCTTCTCTGAGCCTCAGTGTCTTCATCTGTAAAATGGGAATAACCATCTCACACATATGTTTAGGCTTGTTTTAACTCTGGCTGGGTTGACAGGGTGGGGGCTCAGGGTACCCTGACCCCTGAAGGTCGGGGCAGGGGCCACAACCTCTCTGTTTCACAGGCTACGGGCCTGGAGGAGTAGCTGGTGCTGGGGGCAAGGCTGGGTACCCGACAGGCACAGGTAAGGAGAATGTCACCCCATGGTCAGCAAAAAGGGCACTAATCACCCAGGCTCCAGGGCCCTGAAGTGGGCCAGGGTCTTTCCAGAAAACAGACCAGCCCGGGCTGCATACAGACACCCGCCTGAGCCTAGAGAAGGACCCTGGGTGGGAATGGCTCTATCAGCCTCTGCTCTGGGAAACCTCCGGGCATCCCATTTGTGAACATGAGTGGTTTTCCCGGAGCTGGAGTGAGTGCTGGGCACCGCAGATGCAGGACCATAGTTTTCAGCATCTCTTCCCTTCCCCTCCCCCAGGGGTTGGTGCCCAGGCTGCTGCAGCAGCTAAAGCAGCAAAATACGGTGAGTATTTTGAGACCCCACTGCCAGCACCCAGCCCCAACTTCTCCATCCCTATTACTGCTGAGAGCCGGCCTCATTAAACAAAAGCGGTCCTCCCACCGCACCCCCATTTTTCCAACTTTTCAACCCTACCCAGTCTTCACCCGCCAATCCATATATCCAGCCATTCACTCTCCTTCCATCTTCCATTCATCCATCAGTCCTCCAACCCCTCATCCATCCGTGCCTCCCTTCCTTCCTCCATCCATCCCCCGTCTCTCCCTCCATCCAACCCTTCCTACATCCCTCTGCCTCTCCAGCCCTCCAGGCATCCTTCATCCACACCTCCCTCCTTCACCCCCAGTCACAGAGAGCCCTTCCTGTCACCGTAGTGGGACAGAAGACATCTCCCCACCAGCACAAGGGGGCAGGAATGTGGGGGAAGCATAGAGCGGGAGGCCCATCCAATGGAGGCCCCGCAGACCCCCCTACCAGGCCCCCAAGACTCCTTGGCCGACGTGGCTTGTGGGAAGGCTGGAATGTGGGATCGGGAGAGCAGGGAGTGAGGGGCTGCCAGAGCCAGGCAGCCAGGCACTTGGATTACAAACTTGGCCGAGTGTCTGGAACACAGGGAGAGGAAGCCTTGAACATTCCTACAGGAGCCCCTCTGGCCCGGGGAACTGCCGCTTGTGGTTTCTCAGTATGTGGCAGTGATTAGAATGGGATTTGTCGGAAAACATACAAGTCCCTTAATGAGTGTGTTGAAATGGACACTTTGGGGGTGAGTCAAAGAATTGTGGGGTGGGGACCTCCTCAAGCAGGCCCAGCCGGAGACGCCTGGGCCTCATTCCCAGTGGAGACTGTGTTGGTTAAAATGTTGGCCTCCAAGTGGCCTTCCTGCCCAGCCTCAGGAAAGGTGCTGGGACTCACATCTGCATGTCCCCATACCAACAGGTGCTGGAGGACCTGGAGCGCTCCCCGGAGTTGCAGGTGCAATTCCTGGGATTGGAGGCATCGCAGGTAGTATCATTTCCAGCAGGGGTGGGCCTGCCCTTGTGGGCCACAGGGAGAGGCCCTCACCCCCATGTGACTGTCTCTCCAGGGGTCGGGGGTCCAGCTGCTGCTGCGAAGGCTGCTGCTAAGGCAGCCAAATACGGTGAGTGCCTCCAAGGGTGGCAGGTCCAGGCTTCCAGCCTATCCCCAGGCCCTCAGGGCCTGCCCTGGCCCCTTCCAGGCCTTAGACACCCTAGTTCAACAAGGCTAGATGGACTTTGCACTTGTCCATCTGTGGCAGCTTCCTACCTCCACCCCTAATTGCCTTGTTCCGCCTCCTGTCTTTGCCCATTCTGCTCACTCTGCCTGGAGGCCATATCTATTGTGCTCTGTTGATTGACCCAACAGTGGGACCCCGTGGGCAGGAGGACTCCCATCTGATGCCCAGAGATGACCCACAGCTTCAGCATCAACTGCTTGAGTGCCTGATGGCATCCAGGAGCTGCTTTAGAAATAAATTGTATACTTCCCACCCACAGATCCAAACCCTTCAAGCACCACAGCGATTTTTTCAGTCCCTCCCCATCTCTTGGATCAGCTGGATCCACACAGAGACAATGACAGCCCACCTGGGATCCTCCACTCGAGACCTGCTACTCCCTCAGGTCTCCAAAGCAAGGCTTCTGAGGTCCCCACTGGGTCCAGGCTAAAAATAATTCTTTCCTTCCACAGGAGCTGCTGGAGGCTTGGTGCCAGGTGTGCCAGGCTTCGGCCGGCCAGGGGTCGGCGTCCCAGGGGTCGGCGTCCCAGGGGTCGGCGTCCCAGGTGTTGGGGTCCCAGGTGTTGGGGTCCCAGGTGTTGGGGTCCCAGGTGAGCTGGTGTGTGTGTGTGTGTGTGTGTGTGTAAGAGAGAAATATTGACACTATTGTCAAGACTTAGATTCTCCCTCTTACCTCACTCATTTGTCCTCTTCTCTCCATACACTTGATCGTGCCTCCTTCCTCTCTCCCTTGGGCTATCCCACGTCCTACTTAGCTCCTGCCAGCACCATCTTCTCCAGTGCTTCTCCAGTTCCTGCCTGTTCCTTGGGGCAGGAACTGTGACTTTTTCATCCCTATGTTCCAAGTCCTTAGCTGGGGAGGTGGGTAGATGGATGGATGGATGATGGGTGGATAGATGGATGAATAAACACATGGTTGGATGAACAGATGAATAAATGAGTTGGTAGCAGGCTATGCAGATGGATGGTTAGCTAGATAGTTAGGTGAATCGCTGGATAGGAAGATGGGCAGAGAAGTGGATGGTTAGATGGGTGCACGGGTAGACTGAGAGAAATGTGGTTGAGTGGGTAGATCTAGATCCAAGGGTAGACAGACAAATGAACAGACATGACAGATCAGTGGTGGATGAGCTGAGTGGAGAGGACAGGCGGGTAGCTGGATATGAGTGGATGAATGGAGGGATAACTCTATATTGGCCTCAATAGTTAGGGGAACAATGGGCCGAAAGACAGACAGGTGAGCAGAGGGCTATAGATAACTACCCCCCTCTCTCCTGAGCATGCATATCCCCCTTGGTCTCTCCAGGAGCTGTGTCACCAGCTGCAGCTGCTAAGGCAGCCGCCAAAGCTGCTAAATACGGTGAGTGTTGGACTGATCTGTTGTCCCTCTCTGTTCTGGACTTTCCTTGCCAAACTGAAGGACCCTCATCTTCTACCAGAGAAGGGGAGAGACTTGCCCAAGGTCACATATCATTTCAGTGGCAGAGCAGGGACTTGGCACTGTTGGACTCCAGGATGATGTGACCCCAGTTATGGCCCTGATGCCATGGGGCTGCGTGATGGGAGAGTCCTGGGATGGCATCCCCTCTTGGACGGTGTCCCTGAGCATACCTGTCCTGATCAGGGGCTCTCAGAGGAAGCCAAGCCTGGCTGGGGACAGGGGACCAGCCTTCAATCTGTCCATTGCCACCAGAGGGCCCCTCATCCAAGTGCTCAGAGAATAAAGGGGGTGGGGAGCACAGGGATGGGGGTATTGGTAAAGGATTTGTGGAAGAGGCTGGAGCTGGGATGAGGGATGCCCAGGCCATAGTTCCTATTCTTCATTGACTATACTTGGGGCCCAGGTGGGAGAGGTTGTATCTTTTCTCCCAGGCAGCTGGCATCCCCCAGATCCTCTCACTGAGACACTTTCCATGATCTGCTTCCTCTGCAGGGGCCAGAGGAGGAGTAGGAGTTGGCGGCGTCCCTACTTTTGGGGCTGGTGCTGGGGGCTTTCCTGGCTTTGGTGTTGGAGCCGGAGCAGGAGGTATTCCTGGAACTATCCTTTCCCATGAGCCTTAGTTTCATCTGGGGAAACCAGGAGAAAGCATGACAGCTTCTCTTCTTGGGACTTTTGGGTGTGGAGGGAGTGTGGGTTGGGCTTCATTGCACCCAGGAAGTAGTCAGGGGAGCAGGGGGTATGAAGGGAGGGCCTGCAGCACCTTCAGCTGCTGGAGAACAGTAGCACAGCCTGGCTGAGACAGGCCTGGGTCGCTGAGGGTCTCTTTCTTTCTCATTTTCTCAAAGCAGCAGCCGCAGCGGCTAAAGCAGCTAAGTATGGTAAGTGCCCTGCCTGCCTGAGCCCCAAGCCCCAAGCCCAGGGCACCACCTTCCCTGTCTCTCCCTCCCCCGGCTCTGCAATCCCTTGGGGTCCAGGTTCTGAACTCAGAGTTGTTCTCCTGCCAAAGGGCAGAGCAACCTCACACTTGGTTCTCCAGGGCTGAGATGGCCTGGGCCAATGTCAGGAGTCCTTGACCCCATCTTCCAAAGCCACACTGAACTTTTCTGCCTTTTCAGTTGCTCACTGTTACAGCCCCCACCCCAAACCAGTGAGCTGGAGAGGCCCATGCAGCTATGGTTTCCCACCCCACCTCCACCCTCTGCTCCCCTAAGAGGAGGGTGCTTGGAGGGTCAGCACTTCACCCTTCTAGGTGCCGCAGGAGGACTGGTGCCAGGTGCTGGAGGCGTGGTACCAGGTGTGCCAGGCGCTGGAGTTGTGCCAGGCGCTGGAGTTGTGCCAGGTGAGCGGTGGCCCCCACAGAGATAGAAGAGGTCCTGGAGTTGACCCCGCTCAAGTGTATCATTTTGAAGGTAGCAAGACTGAGCCTAGAGCTAGGGGAAGGGAAAGCAATTCCCCCCTCATTTGGAGGGTAGAACCCTCCTTGGGATTCCAGTTTGCTGAGTCAGCCGAGCAAGTCCCCTCCCTGCCTGCGGAGGCCTCAGACAGCCAATGACATCCCTCTGGGTGGTGGAGCTCTGCCAGGGTTGGGGGACCTCATTCATCCACAGGTGCTCTCTGGTTCCGAATCAAGTGAGCGAAACTGTGTCACCCTTTGGTTCCCCTGAGCTTTTTCCTCCATCAAACACCAAAGGGAAGAGATGCAGAGTTACACAGAAATTAAGTTACACCTTCCTTGGTTGTTTTTCCCACCAGAAGAGTTCTCTTCTGCATTCTTTCTGGGAGGAAATTGTCCTTGCAAGAGTTTCCCTAAGAAATGAGTTGTTTCCTACTATGGTTTTGAATACAGGTTCTCTTAGGATTTTTTAAAATTAAAAGCAGCTTAAGAAGCTCCACAAATCATTTAGACTGAGGTTTGGAGAGGGGTGAGGATCGATGCCTCTACAAGCTACAGCGCTGGGCTCCACTCCACTGTAGGCAGAGGTCCAGGGGCACAGTCCCAGGTGGAAGTTACCTGGCTGGATCTGTGGGCTTCCCGGTCTCGAGTGAACAGGCAGCTCTGGGAGGGACTTCTGAGAACAGGGACAGTCCCTAGAGATGGATACCGAGAGGTTTCTCCACAATGGGGCACAGGGAGGGTGGAGGTGCTGGGGAACCACTCCCCAATTCTGCTCATCACCTCCTCAGGAGCGGGGGCCCCAGCAGCTGCAGCTGCTGCCAAAGCTGCTGCCAAAGCCGCCAAGTTTGGTACGTATCCCAGCCCCACGCAGTCTGCTGCCAGCCTGCACCTTAGAGCCCTGCTGTCTCCTTTCCCTGGCTCTGGGTCTGGCACTCAGCCCCCTTTGAGAAGTAAGCCCCCCTTTGGCTGTCCTATTCCGAACATGGGCCTTCCTCACAGCTTTGATCCCTCTGACCACTTTTAGGGGTCTAGGTCAAGTTCCTGGTTAGGAAGCAAGTGAGAGAGGGCCTGGTGAGTCCTCTGGTACCCAGTTCCTCCCTGCAAAGCCCATGTGCCTCCCAGTCCAGCTGGAGCCTGCTCCACTTGCATACCTCCTGCTGGGCTCACACCCTCCTGAACTTGGCAAAGTGGAGCATTTTAGAGTTCAGTTGTATGCCAGCCCCCACATACCTTTGCTTTAGGGAACTACAGGCATCAAGATTTAAATCAGAAAATCAGGACTGTTATCTAGACAGGAATCTTAACTTCAGACCTGCCAACCCTCACCCTCAATATGAGAAATGACCCTTTTTTGTGAAGCTACCACTTGCTGAGGTAATCCTTACACCAACTTATAAAGTTGGTGCTATTATTCCCATTTTACAGATGTGAAAACTGAGGTTCCAAAAGCTTAAGTGACTTGCCCACCGTCACACAGCCAAATGCCTGAGCTGAGCTTCGAACCCATCATTTGTCTCACATAACTGCCTCCTTCCCTCTCAGAAGTCTCCAAGGGGTCCTTGTCTCTCCAGTGGTTAACACCTCCTGATCCTGCACATGCCTCATTCTAGGGATAAGGGCCCTGAGGCCCAGGGAAAGTAACTTGTCTGAAATCGCATATAGCTTGACGGAGTCTGTCCAGCTGGAGGAGAACCACGGCTCCTGATTCCCAGCCCACTGCTCTTTCGGCAGCTTCTGCGCTCCTTGCCCAGGACGTGGTCGAGGATTACTTCTTCTCACTCTTGCATGGGCAGGTGGTGTTCCCGGCGGCGTTCCCGGAGCTGTTCCAGGCGTTCCCGGAGGCATTCCTGGCGCTCCCGGTGGCGTGGTTCCTGGCGTTGGTGGTATTCCTGGTGAGCCGCATGATGGGCCTGAGGAGCCTCCGACTCTTCCCTGGGTGTCATCCCTGAACACCTCTCTCTCCCTCCAGGAGTAGGGGCTCCGGCTGGAGGCAAAACCGCTGCTCAGTTGGCCGCCAAAGCCCAGCTCCGTGAGTGCCCCCCAGCCCAGGGCCTGCCCCGTGTGCGGGCCCACACGGCAGCCTCATTAGGTCCCCAAGGCAGCAGAGGGGTTGGGAGCATAGATTTGATATGAAGGAGACCCAGTTTCGAATCCTAGGCCCCCTACCAGCTGAACACCCTCTGAGTGTCCTGCTCTCCCGTGTGACCTGTTGGGGGGGCGGGGGGGACTCAGATGGTTGCTAGAAGAGTTAAAAGAGTTCATCCAAGAGGGAAGAGCAAGAGGTTAGGCTGGAAAGGGAAGTGGCACAGTGTGCCCCCTGAATGCCAGCTGGGGAGGGGATGCTGAATTTGGTGGACGGGGTGGGGGGGGGTGGTTCAGAAAGTCCAAACTGGCATGGAGGGCCCCATAAGGACCTGAGGGGGGAGAAAGTCCCTGAGTGGGTCTGGGAGCCTGCCCTGGGGAACTGGCTCAGCACACTGGGGAGGACCCCCAATGCACACACAAAGCCACACGTTCCCTGCCTGCTGCTACCACTCACTGTCCACCTCCCCCAGGGGCTGCAGCTGGGCTTCCTGCCGGTGTGCCCGGATTTGGAGTTGGTGCTGGTGTGCCTGGATTTGGAGTTGGTGCTGGGGTTCCTGGATTTGGGGCAGGTGCAGGTGAGGAGGTTTCTAAAGGCTGGGCAGAAAATGCTCCCTGAACTCAGAGGAGGGAGTTCTCCTGCTCCCAGCAATCTCACGCAGGGAATCAGGGTAAATTCTCCGTAAGGGGCTTCTGAGCAGTCAGAAATGACTAGAGTAGCAGATGGGGGAACAAGTCAGATAAGGAGGACCCAGGCTGCAGACTTTAGTTTCCCTGCTCCGTGGAAGGATAGCAGGGCTCCAAACTGAGCAGGCTGCCACCCAAAGAAAGAGCTCCCTGAAATCAGTGGGCCTGGGTGGGCCATCTTGGCTCCACATTAACAATGTGCTGTAGCAAGGGGGGGCACTAGGAGATCCAGTTCTTCACCTGGGGGTTCTGAACCTGCTGTGTCCAGCCTCAGGCCTGGAGGGGATACGAGGGAGAGATAGAAGGAAGAAGCACAGTTCAGCCTTCAAGCATCTCCCAGACCAGACTGCTAGAGGCATTGTTAGACGCTGGGACTCTGACAGGAGGAGGCAGGACTCTGACTCTAGGCAGGAGGTGATCCTGAGCTCAGGGCTTTGAGAGGAGCAATGAAAACCAAGGAAGTCAGAGAGGGCTCCCTGAAGGAGGCAGAAGCCTTAGGCACAGAACTCAGGTGCTGACCGACCCCCCCCCCCCTTTCCTTTTTCTCTTTTCCCAGTACCTGGATCCCTGGCTGCAGCTAAAGCAGCCAAATATGGTGAGCACACCCCTCCCACGGTCAGTTCCCTTGCTGCCCCGCTTCACTCCCACACCAGCCAGGGCCCGTTGCCCGGAGCTTGTAGCACAGGACTGGGATGGGCAGAATGGAAAAAGGCAGTTTCTAGGACACGTTAATGATGCTTTTGCAGACCTGGCCCCTGCCCCCTAAATACCAATCATGCCTCCAGTCCCAGGACAACCAAAAAAAAAAAAAAAAATCTCTTGCATTTCCAGCCCCTAGAGGGCCACCTTAGTGAGGACAGGGTCCCTAAGGCCTCCCTGGCCTGACAGTTTCAAAGGTCCCGGGGCCAGGGAAGGGCCTGGCCTGCTGGGTGTGAGAAGGTTAGATGGTTTCTGCCTCCCTGGCGGCAGAGCTCAGACTCCTGTCTGAACTACATCTCCTACCGGCCTCCCTGTCCACGGGACTGAGGCCACCAGCCCAAGGACGTGGCAGAGCTGCCTGCTCCCCGACTTGGCGCTCAGGCAGCCCCACCTTGTCAGACTCATACTGTCTGCGGCCCCCACATTCCTGGCCTCCTGGGAGCTGGCCCAAGGACTCAACCAGGGAACCAGCCGGTCCTCTAGGGCCAGTTTCCACCTCGGAAAATCCCAGCTTCCTTAGCCCCCACTCGCTGGCCCGGCGGGTTCCCTGCTATTCTGTGGCTTGCTGGCTGCTCCGCCAGTCTGCATCTGACAGCTGTCACGAGGGAAACAGTGACTGGGGCGCTGGCCCTGGAACCATTTCCAGCCAGGAGCCCGTTGCTTAAACTCAGCCATGCTTCAGTTTTTTCATCTGCCAGGGGGCTGCTAATGGTACCCACTTTTCCTGTCACCATGAAAAATAAGCAGGCTCATGCAAGTAATGCTCTGGGGACTGAGTGTTCATGTACACTTTGCTGTATGCTCTGTGCCAAACTCAGTTCACAGCTGATGTGTCCTTTTACTCCCCTATCATCTTCCTTAGGGAAGTGGGTCTCTGGGGCAACAGATCTAAGTGGAGAAACCTGGATTCAAACCTGGGACTTTGAGAGCTGGAGACTAGTCCTCTGCCCTCGGCAGCTTTGGGCCACCACTGTGGCCGCCTGTGGCCCCAGCACTGGCCCTGGGGAAGGAGGGGAGACGGACAGGCCAAGGCTCAGGGGGCTGCCCTTGCCCATTTGGTCAGGGCAGAGCTGGGGGCTCATCTCTCCCCTCAGGTGGGAGGCACAACTGTCCAGTGCTCCTCCCCTGGAGTCACTAGTCGACCTGTTTAATGACCCAGGGGCAGGGAGACCCTCCTCAGAAAGGAGGACACTGACTTTCTCTCCTCTCCACAGGAGCAGGAGGCGCAGGAGCTCTTGGAGGAGTAGGTGTCCCAGGTGGTGTGGCAGGTGAGTTGAAGCCCCAGGACAGGCTGTGCAGGGAGGGGAACCGACTGTGGAGAGTCCCTCCCTGAGCACCCTTTGTCCCCAGGAGCTGGGCCTGCTGCTGCCAAAGCTGCTGCCAAAGCTGCCCAGTTTGGTGAGTGCTGGGGGGAGGGGAGCTGCTGCCAGCCTCCCTGGCATGGGGCTCTGACCATGTGCATGAGGAATATCTCCCTGCACCTGCCCCCCACAGCCCCTTGGGAACATCATCTGCCCAGGGTCCGGCCCGCCTCCTGGCCCCAGTGTACTCTGGAAAGCCCTGGCAACTCAGGCCCCACCATCACCATGCACCCCTCTGCGGAGGCATCAGTGAGAGGTTGGGGAGGTAACACACAGCTGTCTCCACAGGCCTGGGCGGAGTCGGTGGCCTCGGAGCTGGAGGGCTCGGGGTTGGAGGACTTGGGGCAGGTGGAGTCGTCCCAGGCTTTGGAGGTGAGGGGCCGCTCTGGAATCAGTGAGTGGGGTGTGTGCGTGTGTGTGTGAGAGTGTGTGTGTGTGTGTGTGTGTGTGTGTGTGTGTGTGTGAGAGAGAGAGAGAGAGAGAGAGAGAGAGACTATTTTTGCTCAAACTGTGCTCTTTGCCTCCAATCCCAGACCCACCTCACCTGCAACCCAGGGTGAGGGAGCCCCGCTTCCTACTCTGGGCTCCTGTGGGCAGTCTTTATTGAGGGCCCTTGACAGGCAGAAGCTAGGTGTGACCCTTGAAGTTGAGGATCCCAGTCTTCTCTCCCCGTCATCATTCAACCTGCCAGAGCGTGCAGGTGGAGGTCTTCAGGATGATGGTGGTTCCGCCCACATGCCAGAGAAGAAAACCCAAGCACAGAGAAAAAGGCATGCCCAGGCCTCCGCCACCAGCAGCTGCACGTTGGCATTCCCTCTCCCATGAGCCTCACTGTTGCCCTAGAGCAGCCGAAGTCCTCCTGCGCGCTCTGTGAGACTGGACACACAGTGGGAGCTTAACAAAGATGTAGGGAAATGAATGGATGAAGGAGGGGTGCAGAGGCAGGGAGGCTGACTCCAAAGGCCCTTGATAAACAGCAGGCAGGGAGGGAGGGGCATGTGACTTGGAAGGAGGTGATGTTCCCGAACCTCACGCGCCCCATCTCCCCAGGTGTGGCCCCAGCTATATCTCCTAAAGCAGCCAAATATGGTGAGTTGCCCACTGAGCCCTCCACCTGCCCAGGTCTGCAAACTGCTGATCTGGCGCGCCCCTTTCAATTCCTGTGTCCCTGGTGCAGGCCTTGGCCCTGCTCTCAGCAGCCACCGAAGGCCCACCCAGATACCCCCGACCCTGAATTCAGAGGGGTTGCCCTGGGCCCCTTAAACTGCCCTGTCCTGACTCCTATCTGTACTCTTCTCAGGTGCCGCTGGCCTTGGAGGTGTCCTTGGAGCCAGGCCCTTTCCAGGTAGGTAGGCCCTTCCTCAGTTCAGCTCTAGGAGAGGCCTCTCGGGCTAGCAAAGGGGACTCTGGGTCCTCCTCTAGCGCAGGACAGAGAGAGGGTGGAGGGCACAGATCCAGAGACGAAACATCCTGGCAAAGAGCAGGCCTCAGGTTGGTGCCACTCTTTGGGCCTCAGAACCTGGTCTGATGAGCTGAGGCTACAGGTTCCCCTACCAAGATGCCAGTTGGGGGTAAGGTTTGTTAAGAAAACTGTTGTCGTTTGGGGTAGGCAGAGGAGTGGGGTATGGGGGATAGGTTGTCATGGGCAAAGAGGCCACAGGTGACAAGGCCGAAGTAGGGCCTACCCCTTGCCAACCCAAATGTCTCCCACAGGAGTTGCAGCAAGACCTGGCTTCGGATTGTCCCCCATTTTCCCAGGTCAGCCCCACCCCCAGACCCTTCTCCTTCCTCCCCTGCTTCAGACTCTCCTGCTCAGAAAAACTGAGCCAGGGCCTGAGTATGAACCCATGACCTCAGATTACGTATAGTCCAGGCCTCCCCTTATTCTTCTCTCCCTCACTTGCATCAATTTTTCTAAAATGCCATGTTCCAAATGAGGTAAACAGAGGTTCAAAGAGGGCCAGGGGCTTGCCCAAGGTCACACAGTGAGTGAAGCAGAGTGTAAGGTTCCTGACACCCAAGTCCAGAACTTGCCCCTCTGATAGGCCCTGCTGTCAGGAAGGCTTGGGGGCTCCCCAAAAGTGGGCACACTCACAGTTCCTCTCCTTGCCTTGCAGGTGGTGGAGCCGGGGGCCTGGGAGTTGGTGGTGAGTCTGCAATTAAAAGACATTTAAGGCCTAGAGGGGACCCTCTATCAAGCAGGGCCAAGAGCCCTCAATTCCTTTTGCAGGGTCGGGGAGTTGAGGGAGTAGCTAGTGTGGCCACAACCCTGGGCTGGCTGTCTGGCACAGGGGCCTGAGAGCCCCCAAGGGAATGGAAGAAGCTGAGAATTCAGGCCCAGGATGTGGGGACACAGGCCAGGATCCAGACTCCTGGGACTCTTGTCTGGCACTTGACTGGACACCAGGAGCAAGGGCTGAGGGCTGGTGCTGAGGGGCTAACTGGAGAGACTGGCAAGGTTTGAACAGAGCAAGTTCTGTTCAAGCAGGTGGTCAGAGGAGGCTGAAGACTTGAGCATGTGAGATGGGGCAGGGTGAGACCAGGAAGCATGGCTGGGTCTGACTATGGTGACAGGGCCGGCCCTGAGTGCACAGGCCTCCAGGGCATCCACAGGGAGCACTGGCCATACAGGAGGGACAGGCTGGGCTGGGTTGAGGGCAAACTGGGGACAGGGAGGCCTTCAGAACCTACTGCGACAGGATGGAGCCTGGGTACATGGTTGGGGGCAGGGAAGAGGGCATTGGGAGAGGCGGGGAAAGTCTGGCCCTCCCCAATCTCCACTCCGTCCACAGGCAAACCACCCAAGCCCTATGGGGGAGCCCTGGGAGCCCTGGGATTCCAAGGTGAGTGGAGACTCAGCCCCCAAAGAGACCGACCTCAGAGAGGCAGACAAACTTCTGGGAGTGTGTGGGGCGAGCTCTGATCACACACCCCCACCCCCCCCCCCCCCCCCGCCCCCCAAAAAAACCAAAGGAGACCCAGCCTCTCCACTGTGGTTACTCAGGCTCCAGATTCCCTTTCACACACACCCCACCCCCATCCCACTTGCTTCCCACCACGTAGATGAAGCAGCTGAGGACAGGACAGGCAGAGGCAGAGGCGCTCTTTCTAGGGTGACTGCCTCTCAGTCAAGGCCGGGCTGATGTCCGCGGCCCTGTCACGCTGCTTTCCTAACACTGGAGGAGCTTCCCGGAAGCCTGCCCTGCCCTACTCATCTGCCCATCACCACTAGGTGGCGGTAATGAGCTACATCTAGCTCCTGGGAAGGGGCACTGGTTGGGGATTTCACCCACTCCTACATCAGGCCCACCAGACAACCCCGCCTTGATTTGAACAAGGCTCACCAATCAGATCCTCCCAGCAAAGGTCAGGAGTCCTGGGTTCCAGTCCCAGCTCAGCCACTATGGGGAGATTGAGAGTCCCCTCTTTGGGGGCCTCATTTAATCTCTGATGCCTTCTCATGTTTAGGGTCTTCCCTTCACCCCATTTCCTTTGATAGGGGCCACACTGCATGGCTCAATTCAGGCCCCCCTGGTACAGTGACCGCTTGGAGTTGGTCAGCGTGAGCCCGGCCTCACAAGGCCAGCAGGAGGGCCCACCACACACACACCCCACACACCCCCACACCCCCCAACACCCTCACCACCACCCCCATCTCCCCTCGCCAGCCACCAATGACCTTCATGTACCTCCCCTTGCCTAGGTGGCCGGAAGAGAAAGTGAGCCTCCCAGGACCCCTGACTCACGACCTCATCAACGTTGGTGCTACTGCTTGGTGGAGAATGTAAACCCTTTGTGACCCTCACCCCATCCTCCCTCCTAAGTCCCCACCCCGGGAGGGGACAGGCAGGCCAGGAGACTTGGAAATCCGCAGGGCAAGGAACAAGAGCGAGAGCTGGCCCCAGGAGGTCCCCTTCTTTAGAGGCAAGGGGTGGGCGGGCTTGGCCCCCTGCCCCGTCCCCTTCCCACCCAGGAGCTCCCCCTCTACACACTCTCCATCTCCAGAAGAACTTGGTGCTACAAGCTGGTGCTCTCATCTTCCTGGGGGGAGGGAGGAGGGAAGGGCAGTCCCTGGGGAATCCCCCTCCCTGGGGCTCCTCTGAAGAAGGTGCAGACACTTCCTGGGCAGTCCCACCTCCCCCTGCCCACCTGGACCCACCTCTGGCTGTGGTCCACTTGGTACCCAAGCACAGAAAGCCTCAAGCTGGATTCGGTCACACATCTCGGGCCCCTTTGATTCCCTCTCCCCCAGCGGGTCACTGTTCCCCATGTCTGGTGCATCCTTGGGTCAGAAGACCCTCACTGGGAATAGCCCTCTTGCTCTTGTGGAATCCATCTGCCCATCTGTCCATCTGCCCATCTGTCCATCTGTCCATCCGTCCATGTCCCCAGTTGACTGCCTGGCACCACCAGCTGGCTGGGCACCTCAACCTGGTTAACCTGTCATGGCAGCCTGTGCCCTGCCTCCGTCCCCCCACATGCACCCCTAGGAAGGGGCTGTGCTGGGGCTGTGAGGGGTGGTGCCAGTCCTTCCACCGGGGGCAGCAGGAATCTCCTCCCAACCTGGGTCTCCCCCCACGCAGTACTGTAACCCCCGTCCCTCCCTCGAGCCACTGTACTTCAGAGCATTTCCCACCCTGCCCCGCCCATCTCTTTGTGTCTCGCTGTGATAGATCAATAAATATTTTATTTTTTGTCCTGGATATTTGGGGATTATTTTTGATTGTTGATGTTCTCTTTTGGCTTTATTTTTGTGGTTAATTGAAAAAATAAAAAGGGGTTTGTTTTTTGTTTTTTTTTTTTCTGATCTGGGGAGCTATATCCCCAGTAGAAAATTCATTTTAATCACTTTGATATAACTCTGGATGAAACACATTTTTTAAATAAGAAAAGAAAATTAACTGCTTCAGAAAAGACTAATAAATGAAAACCTTTTAAAGGAAATCGTGTCTTGCTCTCCTTTGTACTCCTATCTGCTTCAGTTCCTGGTCCGGGTACTGGCCAGGGCCTTGGGGAACACCTACTGTTAGAGGTGTTTGGAGGAGGCCTGGCTCCTTGTGTATGATCATACCCTTCTCCAAGTTCCGCTCATCCTTTACAATGAAAGCCCTTTTGTAGAGGAAGCAGGGTCAGCTGGCCTCACACTGGCAGCTTGCGCTCCATAGGTTTCCTCCAGCAGGCGCCACCTCAATCCCATCTCCCTGCAGCACCCTCCTCCAGCCCCCGCCAGCCACACCTCCAACCCTCCTCCATTCAGGGTCCCCCCTCAACACCCCCCTCCCCACCCCACCGCCCACCTTGAGCACAGGGTCCAGTGAGCGGCCTACAGACGGAAAGGGTGCACCTAAGTGGTGGAGGAAATGGAAGTGACACTGTTGTTCAGCCCGAACTCTGGCCTTGGTGAACAGTCATACAGAGAGGGAAGAAAGGGCCCAACCTAAGAAAACTAAAAAACATGTTTCCCTCTGAAATATCCCCTCCCAGGAAGCACATTGGCTTCTTCATGAAATGTAACAAATGGCACCTGCAGGTGGCACCAGGAAAGTGAGTACCACCTTTAAATGGTCCCCGCCCCTCCCTGTCAGAAACTCATGGGGTCCTGGGCCGTGGCCACTTGGAGACCACAACTTCCTTCTGTCCTGGGGGTGGATCCGGGGGACACTGGACACGCCTCCGAGCCAGAAGGTGGCTGGAGAGCTGTCACTTGGGAGTGTGGGTGGACTTTGCCAAGCAGACTGGAGCACCTGTGCGTTTGTATGCAAGGGCCCTGGAAGCACCAGAGGGGTTGGGGTGAAAGAAAAATGGGGTGGCATAATGCTCAGGGAAGCTTCCCAAAGGATAGCAGAGTGCAAAGGGCAAAGAAGCAGGCCAAGAGTGGAGATGGGTTAAGTCTCGAGCAGTGGTGTGAGGGCCCAGAGGGCAGGAGAACTGGAGAGCCAGGTGGGAGAAGACAGAGGGGAGGCAAGATGGAGGGTGGTTCAGAAGGGGCCGGGCATCATGGAGCCCCATAATCTGGTTAGTAGCCTTCTCTCCAGGCTGCAGCCAAAGCAATCCTTTTAATACATAGTCAGATCAGGCAGTGCCTCTGCTCAAGCTCCTGCAAGGCTCCCAACTCACTCCGGACCAAAGCCAGAGGCTTTTCAATGGCCTGGGGTCCCTAGCTGAACACCCCTGCTGCCAGCCCTGTGCTGGCCCATCAGGAGCGCTGGCCCTCTTCCTTTCCCTTGCAGGCAGCAGCTTCCCCCACCGCAAGCCCCCACATTTGCAGTCTCTCCTGCCTAGAATGTTCTTCCCTTGCCTGGTGATGTGCTTGGCGCCTTCAGATCTTAACTCAAGTGTCACCGTCTCAGAAGATCCTTTCCAACATTGCAAACTGCGGCCCCTCCCCCATGCAGTGCTCCCTCACCCCCACCTGCCCACTTGCTTTCTCTCCAGAGCACCTGTCGCCATGGGGCACAGTAGCTTTACTCCCTTGCTTATTACTTAATGCTCCACGCCAGAATGGAAATTCCCTGAGAACAGATGCTATTTTAAGAACATAATAGATAACTACCTGCTTTCATTATTTATGCCTCTGGTAATAACCCCGAAGATATCTAGGTCCTATACCCCCTGAAACCTTGTGAAGTATTATTAATCTATATTCATCTATGCAGGTCGCCAGAGCAAAGTAGTACCAACTGGGGGCTTAAGCAACAGATATTTACTTTCTCACAGTTCTAGGCTGGAAGTCCAAGATCAAGGTGTTGGTGGGTTGTGTCGTCTGAGGCAGCTGTACTGGACTCGCAGATGGCCGTCTCTTCCCTGCGTCTTCACATGGTCTTCCCTCTGCATGTCTGTGTCCTGATCCCCTCTTTTTATAAGGACACCACTCAGATTGGATGAGAGCCCATTCTGATGACTTCATTTTAACTTAATTGCCTCTCTAAAGACTGTCTCCAAACACTGCAACATTCTGAGGTACTAGGGGTTGTGACTTCAACATGTGATTTTTTGGGGTGGGGAAGGGGGTTCAGCTCACAGCGGTTGCTTACATGGAAAAAAGTTTTTGCAGCAGTGATTAAGGATCACGAGATAAGGAAATTATCCCAAGAGTCCCTAAATATCATCACGAGTATCCTTAGAAGCTGGAAGAATTGTATGCCAACAAACTGGATAACCCAGAAGGCATGGATAAATTCCTAGAAACACACAACCCACCAAAACTGAATCATAACAAAATATAAAATCTGAACAGACCAATAATGGGTAAGGACATTGAGTCAGTAATCAAAAACCTGCCAAAGAAAAGTCCGGGGCCAGATGGTTTCACTGGTGAATTCCACCAAACATTTAAAGAAAAATTAACACCAGTCCTCCCAAAACTTATGCAAAAAAATTGAAGAGAAGGAAGCACTTCTAACTGCATTCTAAAAGGTCAGCATCATCCTGATACCAAAACCAGACAAAGATACTACAAGGGGAAAAAAAAAATCAACAGAGAAGTAACATCAGCAAGATGGCAGAGTGGAAGATGCTCATTCCACACCCCCATGCACAAAAACAAATATTTGGCAGCCATCCATGGGCAAAAATACCTTTGTGGGGGATCTCCCGGGTGGCACAGGGTTAAAGCCTCAGTCTTACCAAGTTATCACCAGCCACAGCAGCATGAATTCAATCCCTGGCCAGGAAGCTAAACCACAGGGCTTAGCAGACCTCTTCTGTCTCACCCGCTGCTCCCCTCAGCTGTGTATTTCAGTAGATCTGCCTGTTCTGCTCCCCATTGTCTCTGGTGAATCCTCTCACCCCCTGCACCTCTGGCCTACACCCCAGTTCTTGCATGCATAAATTTAAAAAAAAAAAAACCTTTTGTGGGACCAGATAGGAGGATGTAAAACCCCAATGGAGCTCAAGACCCAGGGGCCCACTTGGAGAAGCTAGATACATGCACCGGTGTCGGGCCCACTGCCTGTGGTCTCTGCTGCACACCAGCAGCGGCCCCTACCTCTATGAACTTGGCACCTCCTGCCCAGGGATCAAGGAGAGCAATGTGCATCTGAGCCCCTGAAACAGGCTTGCTGGCCTCAGACCAACAGAGGTCCCATGATCTGGCCCAGTCCCCGCTGCAACAGCCTGGCGGGCAGCCCTCCCTAACCAGGGACCAGCCCAGTCCCTGACAGAGACACTCTGAGACCCAAAAGAAACCACATCTCTCTGTGTCCCTGGTAACAGGCCTGCCAAGTGCAGGGGACACAAGCATAGAGGCAATGACAGTCATAAGACCCAGATCCAGCCCCACGAGATTTCCACCCCAAATACAGACCTGACACAAGCCGAGGCACACAGCAGGAAAAGGTGTTTACCTCTGAGACCAGCGTATAAATACTGGAGAAGAGGTATCTTCTCCTTCAAATGTGCAGATACAATGCAAGACTGCACAGACCATGAAGAAGCAGGTAAACATGATGCCACCGAAAGAAAGTAACAAAGCTGCAGGAAGGCTGTGAAGAAATTGGCACTTTTGTGCACTATTGTTGGGAAAGTAAAATGATGCAGGGGCTGTGGAAAACAATATAGAGATACCCAAAAAGAGCTACAACTAGAACTATCATATGATCCAGCAATCCCGCTTCTGAGTACATGCACCAAAAAATTGAAAGCAGAGTCTCTAAATGTTTGCACAGCCATGTTCATAACACACGATTCACATTCCAGCAAGAGGAAGAAGGGAAACAACCCAAATGCCAGCGGATGGATGCACAGATAACAAAATGCGATACATACATCGATGAAATATTAGCCTTATAAAGGAAGGAAATCCTGTCGCATGTTGCAACACAGATACACATAGAGGATATTGAACTAAGTAAAATAAGTTTCAGGATAAACACTATATGAATGTGCCTACAGGAGGTATCTAAAATAGTCCAATTTCAAAGAAACAGGAAGTAAAATGATGGTTTCTGGGGCCCAGGGAAGTGGGAGAGGAGTGTTGCTTAATGGATAGACAGTTCAGATTGTCAGATTTGCAAGATGAAAACCTTTTGGAGAGCTGTTTCACAACAATGTGAACATACATGAGACCACAGAAATATACACTTAAAAATGGTTAAGACAGTAAATTTATATAATGCGTGTTTTTATTATAAATTCTAAAAAAGAAAAATAAAACTAGAAGGGAAAAGGGACTGATTCTCCTTTACAGGTTCCAGAAGGAAAGCAGCTCCTGATTTTGGCCCAGTGAAACGGATTTCAGAGCTGTGAGAAAATTATTTTCTGTTGCTTTAAGCCACCAAGTTTGTGGTGATTTGGTAGAGAAGCCACAGGGATACAGTGAATAAATGATCAATTCTAAGGCAGGAGAATCAGTGCGATGAAAACGAAACACCAGGGAAGGTAACAAAGAGTGACACAGAATGTTACGCTCTGGGGATGGTTGGGGACATCCCCAGGTTAAAGGCCCTGTGATAAGCACGTGTTTCAGAACTGCAGCGTTAACACCGAGGTTAAGACAAGTTAAGTAAGGACAGAAGAAATGAAAGCAAAGTAGCCAGCGGTCGGTCCTATATAGAGCAAAGTAAGGGCTTTGGGTTTGAAAGCAACAAGAGGCCATAGTTTGACACTCATGTTCAGAGGCTCTGAAGGGTAACAGGGAGCATGGGCATGACTTAGGGACTATTGTACTGAATGCCCAGCTAGGGCAGAGAGGAGGGCCAAGTGTTGAAATTCTGAACGCAGTTGGTACTGAGAGCTGGTGAGATTTGCTGATGAATCAGATGCAAAGAGAATGAGAAAGAATGAGGGAAATCAAGGATGCCTGCAGATTTTGTCCTGAGTCACCAAATGAGGGTGGTGCCATTTACTGAGAAGAGAAACACCTGGAGAAGCAGACCTGGGTACAAATGACGTTTGCCTGTGTTAAGTCTGAGTGCCCATTTGCCTTCCATGAAGAGATGCCAAGTAGACATTTGGGTCCTTGTGTCTGCAGTTCAAGGAGAGGACAGAAGAGTCACCAAGCCATGTGTCTGGATGAGGTCACCCAGCGTGGGCAAGGAGGGGCAGATGGAGTCTGACAGCAGGGATCCTGTGATGCCAGCTCTTTTTGTCCCTAGGAGAGGACAGCTCAGGCTGTGGTGCTCCTGCCCTGGGTAACAGTCCTTGGCTCACCCGACAACCGGGTCTCTGGGGAGCCTCTTGATCATCACCAGTTTGAGTTCAGTCAGGCACCAAATTGGCAAGTTTGAAATAATCCTAATCACTGACCTGGAGTAAGTGAACCTTTCTCACAGGGTTCTAGACCCCTCATGTAGAAAACGTTCATCATGACCCCCATTTGGGAAAAAAATATATTTATTTGTTACCTGGATGGCAAATGGGCACCTAAAACTTAACACATTTAAGTTAGAACCCTCAATTTGTGCTCAAATTAAGGTTTGGGTCCAAATACACATATTCAATTATAAATTAAATATATAGATTTGACTATAAAAATGTTGGTCACATAACTCTTGCAAAAGCCAAATTCAAAGAATGCTCTAAAGATGAGATGAATCATATTTGAATGATTTTATTTATTAATAGTACAAAACGCCCTTTTTGCTTTCGCTAAAATAAAGACAACATTTCCTCCGCGCTATGTGCTGGATGTGTCAGGGCTGATAAGCCGTCCCTGGTGGCTGGCCAGCAGCTCCTATCAGGGATGGGGCCTGCGCTCTCTTTCTGCTGTCTTGCAGTGTTAGGATTGTCTTCTGTCTCTGCTTTCTATTCAGGAATCTTTGGCTGCCAGCAGTTCATTCTAAGAAGGTTAGTTCTGTCTAAACTAGGTAATGTCACTAAGCCAACTAAGTACAGCTCCACTCTGGGCTCCTCCACCTGCATTGTGGCTTCTCCTACAGGGGCCCTCTTCCAAGCCCCTTCACCCTGGGATGGTACAGCCCTCCTTAGCTCCGCTTAACCCTTTCCTGTCCTAAGATCCCCTTTATTAAATGCTCCACCGAGTGGTCCTGTTTCCTGCCAAAACCCTACCTGATACATACCCCGTAAAAAGGCGACAAACAAGCAGAAACATCGCTGCACTGCCTCTGAGGACCTCCATGCCTCCTGGCGAGATTTCTCGGTCAAAGTCCTGGGACAGTATATGATCAGTGGGCAGAGCAAGGGCACCAATGTCAACCTGAACACTTAGCTTTTTAAAATCTAACTTTTTTCTTTTTAAAAAAGAAAATTCTCTTCCCTCCCCCAGACAACTGTATTGCACCCAGAGTTAAGTGCTGCCACCCTGCAGGCCATCAGCCCCAAACCTGGGTTAGAGAAGTCTACACAGGTTGAAGGCTGAAGCCAGCTCTACCCCTTGCCCACTGGCTGCTCTTAGGAAGGTGGTCAACCTCTCGGCTCATAGCTTCCCTCCCAGGCAGTGGGATCAAGTGAGAGAGTGGGTCTAGGAGAGAGAGGGTCACCCTCTCCCCTGGCCCAACACTCCAGGATCCTCCACTTCTAGGCAAATCCTCCACCCTTCTAGCGCTGAACCCTGCACCTGTGCTACCTGGACAGTCCAATTCCTCTGACTCGGTCACTCTGCCCAAACCCTGTTCAGTTGTGTCGCCTCCTGGGCAGTGCCTGCTCCTGGCAGCCAGCACTGCAGCAAACACCAGAGCGCCTCTGTGGCAGCCTGGCAGGGGTGCCTCTCCTCCCCCAGGGCCTGCACCTGGAGCAACCCGCCTAAGGGGCGAGCGAGGGCCAGACACATGGGCCATGGCTTCCTCAGCCTGGTCTCCCTCCCAGCAGGGCTTAGAGGCGGTCCAGGCGCGGCCAGCGCTCCTCTCCAAGGCGACCACCGAGGTCCCCAGGGACAGCTCTGGCTCAGGTCCCGAGCCTCCAGCTGGCCTCGGTCACCGTTGCTCCCCGCGGGCAAACTGAGGCCCCATCCCTGGCCGCCCGCGCCGCCCTCGGCCAGCGCCCGAGCGCGCACCATTCCCAGACGCAGGCCGGGCTAAGGCGTCCCGCGCCGCCGCGCCGGGCGGAGCCGGGGGAAGATGAATGAAAGGAGGGGGGAGCCGCGGGGGCGGGGGGCGGGGCGCGGGGGACGCACGGGGCGCGGGGCGGGGCGGGGGGCCGGGCCGCGCAGGGCCGTTCCCGCCGCCGCCGGCGCCCCGCCCCCGCCCGCCCCGCCCCGTGCCGCAGCTCGGAGCCCCGCCCCGGCCCGCCCCTCGGCTCCCTCCCCAGGCCGCGGCGGCGCGGGCTGCGCGCGGGACCCGGCGTGGCACAGGCGCCGGCGGGGGCGCCGCGAGCCCCGAGCCCAGCCCGGCCGGGCCCGCCATCTCCGCCTGCGCCTCCCGGGCGGGCGGCGGCCGCGGGCGCGCTCGCGGGGCCGGGCCGCCCCCAACCCCAGCCCCGCCGGGCCCCGCCCCCCGCCGAGTGCATGAGGTTGACGCTACTTTGTTGCACCTGGAGGGACGAACGTATGGGAGAGGAAGGTGCGCGGGGTGCGCGGGGTGCGGGCCGGGCGGGCGCCCGCGCGGGGCCGGGCGGGGGCCGCGCGGGGGAGCGGGGCGCGCGGGAGGGGGTCGGGCCGCGCTGCGGCGGAGACCGGGTCTGCCCAGAGGCCGCGCCCCTGCCGCCTCCTGGATGAGCTAGTCCTTGCGGAGCCCGCAGGCCCCTCCCTGACACGCTCCAGTCCGATTTTCCCCTGCTCGGCCTGTGGTGGGCTGCCCTCCCGCGGGCGGAGGGCCCCTGCTCCCCTTTATCCCCGCTCTCCCCCACCTCCGACCAGCCACCAGCCCGGAGGAGTCCCCGGCACTGCCCCCCAGGCCTCCTTCCTCGTGATCTGTGCACCCGGGGCTCTCCCTGAGGCCACCCCTTGTCCAGGCTCTAACCCGGCCTTGGAAGAAAGAGACGCTGGGGAAGCCGCAGCTCTGGGTACTAGTTGCCTCATGGCCCGGTGACCTTGAGGCTGGTGCTGCTTGCCAGGCCTCAGTTTCCCTGTGTGTATAGTTGGGGGCCACGTACTTGACCCTCGGTGCTGGTGATTGGGGTCCAGATGGGCAGAGCAGAGATAAGCCTCCAGGGAATGGAGGCAGTGTCCTGGGGACGCCCACCCACCCCTTCTCCCTGCTCCTGTCAGGTGCCTTCAGTCAGTCTTGGCTAGGAGGATGGGGTGAGCCTCTCCAGCCCTGTCACCCTTGCTGGGGCCCAGCGCTTGGTGTTGCACCATGGCCAGAGTGTAAAACCTGCAAAACTCTCCCACCCAAGAGAGGTGTCAGGTCTCCTTTCCTGGGTTGCCTCAGCTGAATCATCACGTAGGCCCACCTGGTCCAAGGCAGGTGCTGCTGCGCCAGACCTCCCCCACAGCACGGAAGGTCTGCTTGGGTCTAGAGCTGACCTTCCCCTCATCTGTGCCATAGGCCCCCGGATTCTCGTGGAGGGCCAGGCAGCAGCTTGGGAGCCTGACTGTGTGACCAGGCAAGCCGTACCCTCCGTCCAGGGCTCAGTCTCCCCGTCTCTACAATGGGGAGAGACAGGCATAGGGGAGCTTCCAGGGCCCACCCAGCTCCAAGATGCCAGGCCCCAAGGATGACTAAGCATGCCTAGTGGCCAGCTTGAGGAGATGCCAGGCCTCCCTGAAACAGGTGCTTGGGAGCAACCCATTCTGCAGCCCTGGCCTCCTCATCAGGTCAGGGCATAGCCAAAGCTCAGTATGGGGCCAGCACTTCTGGACTCCTGCCTGCCCTCCCCCAGGGGCTTCAGCCCAGAATACACCAATCCAGCCCTGCCCAGTGCCTTTGAAGGGTCCTCTTCCTAAGCAGGCAGAAGAGGAAAGGGGCTGTAGAGGTGTCGCCTGGTGTCTTTTTTCAAAATCCTGCTACTTTCTCCCCTTTTACCTTGCCCAGACCCCAAGTTGAAATGTTGCTGCTGCAGGGTGAACATCTGATTCCCCTCAGTTTACAGGAGGGAAACTGAGGTCCGGAGAGGCTGGGTCACTTAGCCAAGTCTCAGCAAGACTCTCAGACCTGTGTTCTTTCTCCTTCTTCTGGGCACAGTCACTCTTCAGCGCTGCTGGTGGTGCAGGGCATGTAGGTCTGGATGGTAGCTGTGCCTGCACCAAACCATGCTTCTTAGGAATGGTTCCCGACTCTTTCCACTCCTGCAGGAAGCGAGTTGCCCGTGTGTGCAAGCTGCGGCCAGAGGATCTATGACGGCCAGTACCTCCAGGCCCTGAACGCTGACTGGCACGCAGACTGCTTCAGGTAGGGTGACCTGGTCAGGGGTGGGGTGCCCTCAGCAAGGGCTGCCAGAGATGAGAGGCTGGGCAAGCAGTCCAGATTTGGCTGTTCCTCCTGGTGCTGTTTCTGGTTGTGACTTCCAATGAGTCCTTGGCCTCTGTTTCTCCACCTGTAAAAATAAGGGATTTGGATGAGATCCCCGCAGGCCTTTCTGTTTCATCACTCTAGACCCTTCAGGAAAGAAGGGGAAAGACCTGCATCTCCTCCAGTGTTAGTTACCAAAGCCTGCTGGCACTTTAGGGGGTGGCGGGGGGAAGAGGTGGAGAGCAGTGCACCCTTGACTTGTGGGTGCCCCTATTCCTAGGGAGGGAGGGAGACAAACCCCACCTAGGAGGAAGTGGGGCTTGTGAGGATACATTGGCCAATTAGACCAGCCCCTTCCCTCCAGACACCTGCTCCTAAGTGTGGGTTAGGACCAAGGCCAAGCACGTGAGGACCCAAAAGTGACCCAGCAAGACCATACCAAAGGGCAGATACAGGGCACAGCTTTAGAGATGGCTAGACGGCAGAGCTGGGGTCTCACAGGACGTGAGATTTCCAGGTGGGAAGGTGTGGTAGGAAGCACTTCCAGGCAGAGGCCCCGGCAGGTGCCAAGAGTAGAACTGTGACACCACCTGACCCAGTTAGTGAACAGCAGGTTTAGGAGGAAGGAGGTGCCAGGAAGCCTGTCTGGGCCAGAGCATCGACCACCAGCTAAAAGAGTTCATTTTCAGCAGTGGACGCCTCAGATGAGGTTTTTGCTTTTTATTTTGTTTTTGTTTTTTTAAGAATATCACCTAGTGTTTTTATGATTTAGTGAGGGCTGGACACGGCTTTAGGACTTTATATAGCTAGACACTGTCATCCCCCCCTTATCTGCAGAGAATGTGTTCCAGGACACCCAGTGGATACCTGAAACTGTGGGTAGGATTGAACCCTACATACTGGCCTGTCCTATATGTGCGTACCTCTGGTAAGGTCTAATTTATAAATTAGTCTCTGGAAGAAAGTAACAATGATAACTAAAAATAAAGCAGTTATAGCAATATGTTGTAATAAACGTTGTGTGAATGTGGTCTCTCTCTCAAAGTATCTTCTTGGTATTTTTGGGCCACAGTTTACCACAGGTAACTGAAACCCAGGAAAGTGAAACTGGGTAAGGGGACTACTGCATAGTGTTGTCTCCATTCATTGGGGCACAGAGAGGTCAATTCTCTGCCTGAAGTAACACGGCCAGTGAGTGAAATGAACACATGGGGCCCATACTGGCTGGTAATGTCAGAAGAGGCAGACACCATACTAGAGACTCCCAATCAGGTGCTCAGGCCTTCGGGATGGAGGAGACAGTGACTCTCCATAGTGAAAACCACGTGCGCAGAGTCAGAGAGGTGGAACCATGTGGACAGTTGAGGGAACAGAAGTAGTTTATTTGGTTGAAACAGAGCAAGGGATGCACTGAGGGGACAAGATTGGGGTTGATTTGTGAGGGCCCTTGAAGGCCAAGGTGAGGGCATTCTGAGAGCAGTGGGAGCAAGTAATTTTCAGAAAGCAGTCCACATCCTTGCGGAAGGAAAGAGGTGAGGGCAGGGGCAGAACCTGAGGTTTCTCACCCTGGTGCTGGGGAGGGCTGTGTTCCGCTGTCTCTGATGGAGTCAGAGGTCAGGGTGGTGATGAGCTATGCCCATCTGTGTCGAGTTGGAGGTGCAGTAGATTATCCAGGGTGGCAGTGCCCTCCCTGCCCACCGTGGGCCAGAGTGCTCTGGGGTCTGTCAGAGGTGAAGGCCAGAGATGAGGTCCTGCTCAGGACTGACGCTGAAGTGATGGATGAGATTTGAAATAGGAACAAGCGAATTTTGGGGCCCCTGGGCCTGGAGTAGAGAGGGAGATGGAGTCTTGGGAGACATCGGGGAGGACCAGGAGTACAGCCACAGAAGCCACAGGAGGGATGCACCTGTCTAGCTTTGGAGGGGTCCCTGCTTTCCGTAATCAGCAGGGGGGTGAGGCCCCAGCTGGGGGCAGAAGGGAGAAGCCATGTCCAGTTTGTCCTTCCTGTGATAGACGGGAGCACAGAGAGGGAGCCCACAGGCAGCAAGAGCCATAGTCTACAGTGTGACTTAACACGAGTGTTCCTGGCCCAGTGGAGTGGGTTTTCCCAGCCCCTACATCTCTGTGAGGCTGACGGTATCCCTACTCCCTTGACAGTTAGGAGGGCAGCTCAGAGAGGAGAGGTTGCTGCTTGCCTGGGCCACATGGCTGACAGGCAGCCGATGGACGTGAACACTGGTTGGTGTCCCACTGGAAGCATCTCAGTGCCACTGTGGTGGAGCTGCCAGCAGCCCCTGAGCTTCATGGCTGGGCAGTACGGTGCATTTTGCATGAGCTTTGGGGTCTTTGTCACCCCAGGCTTGCCTCTTTCTTTGTTCCAGTTATCCAACCCCAAGGGACTGCACCTCCTGGTAGGTTATGTTTAGGCCCAGAGTGATCCAGGCTTCCCTTCTGCCCCGCTGGGAGGTCCCTTCCCAGAAGTCTGAAGCGCAGGAGCCCTAGAGCTGCCCTCGTGCAGGAAATATCTCCTGGGTGCCAGGTGGGCTGGCCCCGGGCAAGGAGGGTAAGCATGCAGCTGGCCCTGAGGGGTCAGAGCCTAGGCTGGAGCACAGTCTCTTCTCTGGGGACCCTTCAGGAAAGGACAGGACTGCCCCCTTGGGGGCAGCACCGGAAGAGGCAGCTGCTTTTGAGCTTGTCCCTGTCTCCGGAGAGCCATGAGTCCCCAGTGCCTTTGTCAAAGCAGAGGCCGAGGAGCATGGAGGTGCCTCTCCTGTACAGGACTGAGGGCAGACTGCTGGCCACAGCCTCCCACCGCAGTGAGCCCAAGCAGAAGATTTTAGCTGCTTCCTGTTGCGGACCACGTCCTCTCGCACGCATGCTGCTCCTCCTCCGTGCGTGTGACCACACCAGCCCCACCCCCCTGCAGCCTCCAATCTTGAGTGTCTGGGGTAGGATGGGGAAGCGGCTGGTTGGCCCACCCCTGTGCTCCCTGTGGGCCTCCGGAGCCCCCTGCCGTAGATAGCTGCAAAGGATGCTGACCTCAGCCCTGAGAAGAAGAAACTGCTTCCTCAGAGGGGCCAAGTAAGTGGAAAGCCCCCTCCCCACCTGTCCTAGACCTCAGGCAAGGCCCCTGGTGTGAGTGCTCAGACTGGGTCAGCTGTGGGCCACCTGGGCCCTGCCGCGTGGGGCAGAACTGAAACAACTTGGTCACTGTCTGATGGCTCACAAGGGGGAGCGAGCAGGCCATCGCTGAGCTTCTGGCCCTTTTGGTATAGTGTCCCTGGAGGCTAGTCCTCCAGCTACTCTTTCTTCACTCCTGGCATCCAGGGATGTCGCCCTGGGTAGAGCACACTCCTGGGATGGTGGACTGCCATTGCAGAGGTTACTACTGCTTCCTAGCCTAATCCTTTCATCCCTTCCCAGGATCCCCTTCTTCTTACCCCCCACAATGACCTCCTCTCCTGCCTGTGCCTGCTACATCTTCACTAGTCTCCGGGAGGGACACCCAGGACCAGACAGGTAGACACCTGTCTTCCAAGTGTTCCTCTCTGATCCTGGGCCATCTCTACACACCCTCATACCTGACATCCTCTGTAAGGGCAGGAGCCTGTGCGGGGCACCCTAACAGCCAGACCTGCCCTGCCCCACCTGTTTCCTCTGGCTCCTGGTCAGTTGTGGGCCTGAGGAGCAAGGGGGTAGACAGGGTCAGGGACTCCTGTGTGCCTCCTCCAGCAGAAGTCCACTGAGGCCTGAGTGCCACCACCCAGCCGCTTTGAGCCTCAACTAGATCCCCGGTCTGAGACAGTGGTCCCCTGTGCCAGTCTGAGATGGAGGCTGAACTGGGCACTCTGAGACAGCGTTGAAGATGCTGGGATGGGGACTGCTACAGATTGGGTGTCTGGCAGGAGCCATTCTGTTCTCTTCAGGGTCCAGTTTCTGTGGGTGCTTGGCCTGGGATCCCCGGGAGCCCATGGCTTAATAACAGACTGGTGGGCCAACAAAGGCTACTAGTGCAGACAGTATGGAAGCCTCTGGGGCACCTCAGCCAGGCCTCTGAGCAAGCTTCAAGGAAGTGGTGACCAGGGCGCCATGGGTGGGTCAGTGTGGGTCTTCCAGGTCGCTGAGGTGAGCAGCAAGCAGCGTCTGCCAGCGAGGGAGGGAGTGGGAGTTTGTGGTTGGGACAAGAGCCTTCTCTCCCTAGGGAGGCAGCTGCTCCTGAGCTCCCACCCACCTCCCCACCCACTGAGAGGCAGGCTTCCTGCAGCCCAGCAGCAGGAAGGGACTGAGGGGAGAGGGTGTCTCCTGTACTGACTCCTATGACATGATTTGTGTCTAGCTGGTAGAAGGGCATGAATGAATCACCGTTCTGCACCAGGCGTGGGGGCCTCCCCAAGGTCACGACTGTCTGACTCTGCAGAACAACTCCTGCCACTAAACCTTCTCTCTAGATTAGAGCCCTTGGAGATCTCACCCCATCCCTGGGCCTCCTGCCTCCTGGCCAGGCATCTTCCTTGCCCCCTTAATAAGGTGCTGGTCCCCTACAGGCACCCAGGACTGGAGCAGGAATGCAGTAGTGTGGGGGCAGGAAGGACAGCCACACAGGGCAGTGGATGACATCATGGCTCCGTGGCCAGCCTCCACTTCCGGCAGGCAGCCTCCTCCACATCCCAGGGCAGTCTCCTGAGGCTTTCCCCCACCCCTGCCCACTCCCCCCTCCCTTTTCATGGGGGGAGCCCACAGATGGCCCCCCTTCCTGAATACACCCCCTTGTACTTCTGAACTCTGACATTTCACACACACACACACACACACACACACACACACACACACACCTCTCTGCTGTGGTCTCTTGCCCCTCCCCTTAGGCTCCCAGACAATGGGGAACTGGCTGGATCCTCTTAAAGAGACAGTGTCCCACCAGCACTCTTACTGCTGTCCTCTCCCTCCCCCTCATCCCTGGTTCCCTAGTAGTAGGCAGCAGAGCGAGGTCTGTGCAGGCCGAGGTTGGTGCAGGGTTCCCTGGCTATCTGGGGGGAGGTTTCAATCTTCATTGTCCTCCTGTCCCCTGGATTGTCTCCCTGCTGAGCCCTGAGCTCTGACAGGGTCCTCCTGTCTTTGTGTCCTTGGCATGGCCCCAGAGCACCTGCAAGAGCAGAGATGGATTTCCTAACCTGTTCTCTGCAGTGTGTCTGTCCTCTGGCCCACACATTCCCAGCACCCCAGTCAGGCTCTGCAGAACTGGTGGTTCTTGGGCTCACCTAGGATCCCACATTTCTGCATTTACTGTTCCTGGCTTAGCTGGACTGCTGGCCTGTGGGGTGCTCCGGGTGAGGGGTAGGGACATCCTGGTCTTGACGCTGCTCCCCTGGTCATTCTTTTTTTTAAATTTAAAAGAGCAGGTTTATTAGAGAAAGGGACAGAAAAGGACACTTGCATAGACACAAATGGGCAGAAAGAGCTGCCCTGAAAGGAACAGGTTTGCTGAGAGAGGCCTGCATGGTTGCAGGCAGGTGGCCTTGAGGAGAGCTGCTTCTGCTGAGGGAGGTCAGTGAAGAGAAGCCCCGGCATGGGACAGGTCACGGGCAGGCAGGAGGGCTGCTGCCCTTCAGAGGAAGAGGGTTGATGAAAAGGAGCACCTGCATAGTCACAGGTGGGCAGAAGGACTGCTGCCTCCTCTGGTCATTCTTCATACAGTGTGACTGCTTTTCTGAGAGAAGTAGGATCCGTGGCTCTGAGCTGGGGGCTGTGCTGAACCCCCTAAGTCCGTTCTTAGAACTGACAGCGCTGATGGGGCTGATCCTGACTGGTCTCCTCTGAACTGAATTCCTGCCATTATCTTAGTGTGGCAAGAACTAGCTCTGTGAGACTGTGACACCCATGCTGGGGCACTGCAGCTCTTCTGAAGCTCATGTGACTCGTGGCAGCCTGTGAGGATTAACCAAGAGAAGAGCAAGGTGCTAGCCCTTAATAGGTCTTCACAACTTTCACAAGTCACTGCCATCCACACAAGCTGGCCCAACTGCCTCCACATTGCTGGGGGGCGGAGGGGTGAGGAGAGGAATACCACCCCGAAGAATGGGGCCCCCCACAGTTTATTCCAGCCCTATACCTGCACCCTCGGCTCCCAGCTTCCCTCCCTTCCACTTGACATGAACAGGAGCAAGTCTTGGACCCTCTTCCTTAACCTGACAAGGAGCAGGCTCAGATGAGGAGCACTTTCACCCCAGGACTGGCAGGCAGGCCAGACACTCTGGATACAAAACTGCTGTGGATGGTTGTGCCGGCTGTGGGGCCAGGGGACTAAATCCATCTCAGCCTCCACTGGCCCAAGCCTTGTGCCCCAGCGCAGGCTGCTTCTGCCCTTCCCCAGTTCTTCCAGAGACAAGTGAGACAATGGCAAGGGGTAGGGGTAGGATCCCTGGGGGCGGGGTGCCAGGTGGTACTAAGCCCCGCCCCTCCTCCAGGTGTTGTGAATGCAGTATCTCCCTCTCACACCAGTACTATGAAAAGGATGGGCAGCTCTTCTGCAAGAAGGACTACTGGGCCCGCTATGGCGAGTCTTGCCATGGGTGCTCTGAACACATCACCAAGGGGCTGGTCATGGTGAGTGCCCCTCCCCCATGACACCGCACCTGGGGCACAGGGGGTGTCTGTGTCCTCACAGGTCTACCTGCTCCACCTCCTTCTCATTCTTCTCACTGCTCTCTGACTCCTTCGTGCCTTCTGACCTGTTTGTCCATCTGTTTCCCTGCACCCCCTACCCATGGAGCTGACAGCCGGGCCCCTGAGTTTGGGGAGCCCTTCTGAGGTCCAGCTAGGGGAGGAGGATGGGGCCCAAGGTGGTGCTGAGCTGGGTTGTTCTCCCAACCCCCACCAGGTGGCGGGGGAGCTGAAGTACCACCCAGAGTGCTTCATCTGCCTCACCTGTGGGACCTTCATCGGTGACGGGGACACCTACACGCTGGTGGAGCACTCCAAGCTGTACTGGTGAGAACCTGGGCCCTACGCCTACCTGCATCATGGGTCTCCCTCACCAGGGCCCTGGCCCTTTCCACAAGGTGAGGTTGAGGGAGGCGGTCATGCCTGCCGGTGACAGTGCAGAAGTGACTGGGAGATGCAACACAGGAGTCAGACTTAGAGGGCCTCAGCCTCAGCCTTTTCACAGGCACTGACCTCACACGTGCAGGGCCCCGGGCCTGGCAAGACCACCCTCACCTCAAATGCCAGCTGCGAGTTCAGTGGTCCCCAACTGGCTACAGAGTTAGGGCTTCCCACAACCCCATCAGATTTGACAATTCCTTAATTGACCCACAGGCTCCGGAAAGTGCTATGTATTTAGGGTTATAAGTTTTTTCAACAGATCAACCATATGAAGAGGTGAGGTACAAAGGGTGAAGTCTGGGAGGATCCCAATGCAGAGCTTCCATACTTCTTCAGGGAGTCAGCACATGTGACACACGTGGGCACACACACCCTGCAGGGTCTTATTAGGCAAGATTGATTGCCTGGCCAGGTGATTGAACCCACTCTCTAGTCCCCTTCATTTTCCCCCACCTACTCACCAGTTCATCTTTCCGGTGGTGGCATGGCGGGGGCCAGCCCCCATGCTGAGTCATATCAGTAAGATCAACTCAGGTGTGAAAAGAAAGACACTCCTATTCCAAGAATTTAGAGCCTCTTTCTCAGGAACCAGGACGGAGACCAAACAAATTCTATACACACCACTGATAAAGCTGGGTTTGAGGGTTGTTTGATCCCAAATGGACTTGGAATCAAGTCCGCTTAAGCTGGATTTATCCCAGGTCATCTTACAGCATGACAGAGAATAGACAAACCCAGGATGACTGAGCCCCAGAGAGGAGCAAGGGCTGGGCTGGGCTGGACTGAGAAGGGCATGCTTAGTCCTTCCCAGGCCATCAGGCAGCTAAGACCATCCTCCCCATGGGAGTAGTGAAGGAAAGGGGCGTGGCAGAAAGGACGCTAGGACTGGGGGTAGCAGGGGAGGTGGGAGGTAATGCTGGTGACTGTCCTAACGCTCTTTTTCCCCCATTCTTTGTGTCCTCACCATCTGCGGCTTTTGCAGTGGGCACTGCTACTACCAGACTGTGGTGACCCCCGTCATCGAGCAGATCCTGCCTGACTCCCCCAGCTCCCACCTGCCCCACACAGTAACTCTCGTATCCATCCCAGCCTCAACTCACGGCAAACGTGGCCTCTCGGTCTCTATTGATCCTCCTCATGGCCCGCCAGGCTGCGGCACAGAGCACTCCCACACGGTTCGCGTCCAGGGGTGAGTGACTGGCCTGCTGAGGCTGCAGCTGGTATGACTGTGGCTGTGGGTGCTGTAGGTGGGTGGCAAACTCTGGGGCTGGGGCCCTAAGAATAAGCGAGCATTTGGACAGGTAGAACCCAGCTCTGACAACCTGGTACTTGAAAATTATGGTTCAATTTTCAAATCTTTTCATGACTAGGCCACTCAGAGCCCTGAGCTGCTCAAAAAGTGGGTCTGATAGAGCCGCTCCTCCCCCTCCACCCCAGAGCTGGGACCAAGAGCACTCAGGGTGATGGGTGGGAGATAACCGCACCTCTCATCAGGCTCCCACTCCCAGAAAGTAAGATAAACTGATTTGAATTTGAATGAAAGGGGAAGGAAACTCCCTGAGACCTTATAAACTTGGGTTTACAAGCCAAGTTCATTATGTCTGGGTGGGTCTCAAAAAAACCTCAAGATAAAATTGTCAGTGTTGAATGTGCTTCCTAACTGCCCATGCTCCTAGACTCTGACAGACTCAGATATAAATCCTTCTGGAGGATCCCACCATGAGGCTTCGTTGAATGAGATAAATGTCCCAAGGAAGATGGGTGATTCAGGCAAAAATCACTAAGCATATAAGGAAGCAAGGTGCCCAGAGAAAAGCCACCCAAAACCGAAAGTATCAGAAACTGAAATAATGCTTAGCATGTTTCCATAAATACAAAAAGCTTGAAAAAATTAGTAAAGAGCAAATAAGTTTGGAAAAGAACCAAGTAAAAGAAATATATTAAAATATAATTATTAAAATTTTATATTATTCTGTAATTATATTAAGATACTAAGTAAATATTAAATTTAAATGTTAAGATTTATTGAGTGAAATTATTACAATAATATTTGTTATTAAAATAAAAGCCTCAGTGCAAGTGCTTAACAGCAGAGTAGGGTTCTAGAAAGATGAGAACTGTGAAAGAAAGGTTAAGACGTTTGGAGGACAAGGACAGGATCTGATAATTACTATTTAGAATTCTGGAAGAAGAGAGAGAATGGGAGCAAGGCGATAATTGAAGATACAGTGACTTGAGAACTTTTCAGAACTGATGCCAGCACACTCAAACCCCATTAATCCCAAACAGCAGAATAAAAAGAAACCTACCCCATCTAGTGAAATTTCTAAAACAAGAGAAAAGTCCTTAAACGTAGCCACAGCGGAAGAAAATTATCTTAGTAAAAGGACAATGAGACTGATAGCTGACTTCTCAACAGAAACAATGAAGCCAGAATCAGTGAAACATGGGTGTGGCCATGCCCTGTGTAAAAACCATGCTGTGTGCACTGTGGTGGCCCCAGAGACTGCACCCCATCGCCCACCCCCACCCCCACCCGTAGTTAGGCTGTGCCGTCCAGGTGTGAATAAGTATTCTCTATGATGCTCAGCAAAATCACCAACAGCACATTTCTGAGAATGTTAAAGCATAACTGTTAAATGCACTGAGCAAGAAAAATAACCCTCAACCATGAATTCTATACTTGATGAAAATATCTTCAAGAATAAGGGTAAAATAAAGGCATAGCAAGGCAGACAAAACCCGGATTTGAAACTAGCAGGTCCATCCCTAAAGAAAATTCTACAGCAGGCAGAAAAGGTCCGAGGGGCACAAAGGCATGAAGAGTGGGGAGCCAGCCCAGTTGCTAGTGCACTGTGACCTTGGTAGCGCTCTGTAAACATATGTAAACACATATATTTACATATTCCATCTCTCTGGGCTTTGTGGTCCTTCAGCAATGAAAAAATTGGATGCCTTGGAGCCTTTGAAGATTTCTCCTAGGCCTTCACTGACTCGTTGAGGTGTAGTTTTAAATGTCCCCATCTCTGGGCCTAAGCGCCAGGTCCCAGCTTCCCTTTGACACAGGGAACATTTCTCACCCACTGGCTGGACCTCAGGCCCCATGCCTCAGCCTGATTGAAATAAAGATGGAACCAGAGAAAGGAAAGCTACTGAGCTGAAATCTGCAGCTCACCCCTGCCTTGAGCTTCAGCCAGGTCAGCAGCTGCCTTATGTATACAAATGAGTGGGTCCGACTGGTGAGAGAGATGGAGAAACTCCCAGACCAGGGCATCTTGCCAGAGGCCAAGGGAAATGCTCCTTAGAGGCAGGGGGCTCAGCTGGTCTCTGACAACCAGGCAGGATCTTAGAAATGGAGAGCCCCTGGCACCCCCCTCCCTGTCTCTTCCACCAGATGAGCATTCTCTCCAGCCAACATCTGCCTCCCTAATAATATTGGCAAAGAGCCACAGCCTTCTTGAAAGCAGCGTAGCTTGCCCAAGGGCTGCTGGCCACATTTGCTTTCTTCCTTGTCTGCTGGTCTTAGGTGACCACTTTCGTTTTGTTCATAGCAGCATCTTAAGAAAGCTTAATGTATCTGTGCCCCAGCTCCCTTAGCAGGAGACTGAGTTTAATGGATGTGTATTTTTAAGGTGATATCCACAAGAAACCTGTATCAGTTAAAATAAATTCGTTGTATTGTGATCTTTTTATCTTGAGTTTTTCAAATTTACAGTAAGTTTGCTAAAATAAAGTGTACCTTGATATGTATACACTCATCACTAATATTCACTAATTTTAACTTTTTGCCACATTTGGTGGGGAGGGGATAGAGGTATCACCCTCTGTCTATATATGTGTGTGCACATATGTACACATGTATTCATACACACTCCAGCTTATTTATGCTTGTGTATAACACATATATTTACATTTTATCTACTAAATCATTTGATTGCAAATTGCTGGCATCATAGACCCATCCCTCCCCCCTGCGCCAAATACTTCAGGCATTTTCCTAAAAATGAAAGTCTTCCCTTATACAGTTATCAGTTGTATCTTATAATGCAGTTAGGACATTTAGGGAATTTAACATTGATACAATCATTTTATCCAATATATAGCTCAGATTCAAAGTTTGCCTTTCAGTTCTGCCAGTTATCTCAATGCCACCCTTCACTGAAGTTTCCCCCAGTGCAGGTCCATGATCATCCACTGCATTGGATCATCATGTCTCTAAGGTCTCTTTTAATCTGTGATAGTTCCTCAGCTTTTCATTGTCCGCCTTGACCTTGGCATCTGTGCAGAGTATGGGTCAGCTGTTAAGTAGAACGTCCCTCCACTTGGGTATGCCTAATGTCTTTCCCTCAGTAGATTTAGGTCACGTGTTTGGCCTGCTGCTGCATAGTGTTCTGTCCTTACCCCTGCATCTCACTGGTAGACACACAACATCAATAAAGTGTGTCCTTTGTTGGGAACATTAGCTCTGAATACTTGGATAAAGTGCAGTCCATTCTCTGCTGAAAAGGATTCTGCCCTTTGTAATGGGATCAATAAGTCATCTGTGAGACTCGAGTCTCTAAATACCCTGTCCCCAAGAACCTTTCCCCGCACGGTTCCTAGCATTTACAGGTGAACCTCACCTTTATCAGTCATTACTTTCATGGTACAGAATGGTGATTTTCTCACTCTGCTCTCCTCTGTTTGTTACCTGGCTTTCTGGTGTAAGGAAGAGCCTCTCCTCCACGTGAGCACATAGACTTGATAATAAAGAATTTTGAATCATTTTTCTTAAAGCACTCAGTCTTTCTAGCCCCCATCTTAGCAGCTCTCCATCACAAACATAGACAAGGTGAATATTTTAAAAAAAACTCTTATAACAACATGATTACCATGCAACTAACACCAGAGAGTTAAAAGCACTAGCTTCAGCAGCACATATACTAAATTTGGAAGGATCCAGAGATTAACACGGCCCCGAGGAAGGATGACACAAATTCATGACACTTTCCGTATTAACAATAAAAAAAAAGTTTGGCAAATTGACCATCCTAAGTTAGCTGATCTGAGGGGTGTTAGCTCTGGCCTACAGTGTGGCTCAGGGCAGATGGCTAGACCCCCACGATTCCAGGGGAGTGGGAACCTCAGCTTCATCTTGCATGGTGATTGTGGAGTCAGGTTGGAAGCCAGTAGATTCAGGCCCTCTTAGGATTCACCAGGCAGTTGAAAGGGTAGCTCTGTCCTCACGGCAGAGACAACAAGCCACTTCTCTCCAATTTCACATCCGAAGCAGACATTAGCAACTACTTACAAAATTCTTCCCACCAATGCAGAATTATGCAAGATAGAACCATTTACCCCCTTACCTCTGATCTGATTCCCTGGGCCTTGGTTTCCTATAAGTGCTCCAGGGGAAAGGTAGGCAGGGGTCTCACCACTGCCCTGTGCCCACAGAGTGGACCCAGGCTGCATGAGCCCCGATGTGAAGAATTCCATCCACGTCGGAGACCGGATCCTAGAGATCAATGGTACTCCCATCCGGAACGTGCCCCTGGATGAGGTATGGGTCCAGGGTAGTCAAGCGGAATCAGAGGGGTGTCTTCACGCCTGCTCCTCCAGCGCCCCCGTGACTACCACCTGTACTTACCTGTCTACTCACCTCCCCAGATTGATCTGCTGATCCAGGAAACCAGCCGCCTGCTCCAGCTGACTCTTGAGCACGACCCCCACGACACATTGGGCCATGGGCCAGAACCTGAGCCCAGCCCTCTGGTCTCCCCAGCTCACACACCCAGTGGGGAGGCTGGCAGCTCCGGCCGGCAGAAGCCCATCCTGTAAGTCAGCCTGGGCCTTGGGGTCTCTAGGTACTTCACTCATGCTGGGCCTTGTCCCCACCATCCAGGAGCTCAGTCTGATGGGGAATCAGCCCTGCAAAAAAGCAGTCTGGCAAGGTGTACTGGGCCTGTGAGCAAGGAAAAACAATGAGAAATAGGAAATCAAGGGAAACTGCTCCCTAGCTGGGGATTACAAAGAGCTCTGTGTCGGGGGGAACCAGTACCTCGGGAGCTATAGGCAAGTAGCTCAGGATGATGGGACCTTTAGATGGAATTGGGGACAAGGGTGGGGGCTGGGATGGGACAGATGAGCTCCCATACAGAAGCTAACAGTAGGGCCTTGGATGTGTCAAGGGTTTTTGGCTATTGCCCACCCATCACGGGACCCAACTGAAGGGGTGATTGATGCAGCAAAGTGATACGCTTCATGGAGACCATTTGGGTCCTCTGTGTAAGAGAGTGCCTGCAGCCAGGTGGCTAGAGGGCTGTCGGGATGGTGCAGGCAGAAGGTGCCAGGCACCATACTCTCTTGAAGGTAGATGGGGGCACATGGAAGAAACCCAGAGGTAGCCTGGACCTCACTCCACTTACTGTGGGATCTGCTTGGGACTCTTGGTAAAGGCTTTGGGGGACCACCCCGGGAGGACCACCTTTAACCTTTAATGCGATTCTTCCTTGCCTGAATTTGTCGGGAGCTCAGGCCGCTGTAGGGAACCATACATGTGTCAGGGTTAAGGCCTCTTGGGCAGTTGTCTACTTCTGCACCCCCTGACCTGGAACCCACATGCTGGGAGACATAATGTTTGACCCAGATTACACGGCAGAGGAGGACAAGGACAAATATTCCTACGGGTGCCTCAGTCAGGAAGGTTGAATAGGACAGACACTGGGCATTGACATTAGGGTGGCTGAAGCCCTCGGAGAGCCCCTTGCCACCCTCTCAACTTGAGGGTGAGGGTGAAGAACAGGCAGTGACCTAGGACTGGCAGGTGGGAACATGGTGGGCAGGAATTGGGCCTCAGCCAGGTGCACTGGGCACTATGTCTGCTCCCCCCAGGAGGAGCTGCAGTATCGACAGGTCTCCAGGTGCCGGCTCACTGAGCTCCCCAGCCTCCCAGCGCAAGGACCTGGGTCGCTCCGAATCCCTCCGTGTGGTTTGCCGACCACACCGCATCTTCCGGCCTTCTGACCTCATCCATGGCGAAGTGCTGGGCAAGGGCTGCTTCGGCCAGGCCATCAAGGTACAGGGCATGTGTAGGCCGTGAGCCGCCTAGGGTCTACATGTGACCCAGCAGGCCTACTTCTTCCCCCCAGTGCCTCCAGGAATCCTGTGGAAGGGGTACTGGTTTCCAGACTCCCTGGCCAGTGCCCTCCTCCACCTGGGCCTCCTGGAGTGTACTATGGAGATACCCCCTATTTTGCGTGGAGGAGGTTGTTGGGAGATGGTTCCTTGGGTTGGAGGGTGGAAGGTAGCCCATTCCCAGCCTAATGCCAGCACCCTGGTGACCCCTGCACATTCTCCCCCTATCCAGGGCCCAAGCTCCAGCAGCCTCGCTCCCCTGCCAACTGGGAAGCCTTGGGCTTGTTAGGACTCCTCCCTGAGTCTCATCTATAGGAAGAACAAATCCCATGCCATGGGCCTGGGATTGTGGCATGAAATTGAAGAGTCCGAGTTGTCCGTCCATCTTCCTGTCAGTCCTGCATAGGGTCTTCTGCCGGGCCGGCTTAGAGCAGAGCCTCTGTGGGCACTGAGTCTCCCTGCTTTGGTGTCCCCACTCAGGTGACGCACCGGGAGACAGGCGAGGTGATGGTGATGAAGGAGCTGATCCGGTTCGACGAGGAAACCCAGAGGACATTCCTCAAGGAGGTCAGCGGGCCAGCTCTCACACCCTCTTGACCAGGCCTCGAATAGGCCTGTGGCCCACAGCCCTTCCCCACTGAGAGGAAATAGACAAGGCTCTGGGAGGGTGTGACACTCAGGCCACAAGTTGAAGGAAGGGAAAGGAGGCCAATAGGGCAAGGACATCCTGGGGGTGGGAGCCACCCAAGCAAAGGAGGCCGTGGGCCCCAGAGGGGCCATGGGCAGTGTTGGGATTGTCTGTGGCCTCTGCTGGGATGGCAGAGGGAGGAGATGTGGGCACAGCCCCAGGCCCAGCCTGTCTGCACCCCACCAGGTGAAGGTCATGCGATGCCTGGAGCACCCCAATGTGCTCAAGTTCATTGGGGTGCTATACAAGGACAAGAGGCTCAACTTCATCACCGAGTACATCAAGGGCGGCACACTCCGTGGCATCATCAAGAGCATGGTGAGTGCCCACAGTGCACTGCGGGAGGCACTGCTCCCTCCACAGAACCCTGGGCCAGGCCAGCTCCTCCCGGAGCCACAACCCCTCAGCAATTCAGGGTACATTGGCTCTGGTCTCAAAGCTCTTCAACCCCTGATTCTGAACGAATAGCAGAAAACACTCCATTAAAGCCAGGGACCCAAAGAACTGGGGGTATCACCAAGGGGACACACAGGCTCTTGGGTCAGCTGTCCTGTTCACGTTGCCTTGCAGGATGGCGGGACTTTACTTGGATTCTGGCAAAACCAAATGATTTTTCCTACAATAATTCCCCCTTATCCTCAGTCTCATTATTAGCAATTTCAGTTACCCTCGATCTAATGGAGCCAGAAGATATTAGATACATAAGATATTTTGAGAGAAAGCACATTCACATAACATTGACCACAGTATGTTCTTATGATTGTTTCTGTTTTGCTATTGGTTATCACTGTTAGTTACTTACTGTGGCTAATTTATAAATTATGTGCAATACAGAAAAATATAGCACACACAGTGGTTAGTACTCTCCACAGTTCTATTTGGTGTGGTCAGTACTGTCCACAAGGCCCTCCACCAAGGTCTCAGATAAGGTGGGTTTCATAAAACTCAGAACTTAGTTTAAGAGCTTGGAAAAAGACACAGATGTATCTAGGAATAAAGTGCTTAGGGAGGGCACTTCTAGAACTCTCATGCCGACAGTGGTGTCCTGGGGACCCAGGGCTTGCCCCCTCCTTGGAGTCATGCTGAGACACCAGGTTCCCAGCCCCCTTCCCAAAGCCTCAGTCTCTCATCCTGGATTGCCTGCTTTGCCAGAGTGGCGTCCCTGCAGGTTCCCACAGGTGTGGTTCCCTGGAAGCTACTCTGTGGTTGAGTACAATTAGAAACACTGATCCTCTTGTGCCTCCCCAGAGGTCTCTGGGGTGGCACAAGAGAATCAGGCCTTTCCCCAAATGGTTTGAGCCCAAACTCCTACTCTCCTGCGTGACTTGTGGCTAGTGCTCTGCCGGCAACCCCCCGTCCCACCCCCAGGCCCATCTACCACTATCAGACCCTGAAAGTAGGTTTAGATTTTTTTTTTTTAACTTGAAATGATGGGATTTTGTAGAGAAGGTAAGCCTTTTTTTCCTCGGAGGAGGAACCATAAAGGAATATCCCTCCTGAGCATTTGAAATCAGCTCTGTTAGAAAATTGCTTTGAGTCACTCACCCACACCTATAGCATCTTAGACAGTTGTGGGTGCAGAAGGGAGGGTGGAGGGCCCTGGACTCTCTAGGGCACTTGCTCCCTCCTGTCTCTCTTGCTCCCTTTGCCCCCCCCCAACCATCTTTTTCTTGTCCTTCCCCCCCAGGACAGCCAGTACCCCTGGAGCCAGAGGGTGAGCTTCGCCAAGGACATCGCTTCAGGGATGGTAAGTAGTCCTGGTTCCCACACACCATGTGGGCTAGTGACCTGACCCCCTTAGAGATCCACCCTTGATCACCGACCTGAACATCCACATGGAGTTTAGAAATGGAGGTACCAGCAAGCTTTGAATGAGGGCAGGGGAGGAGCAATGAAGAGTGGGAAGAGCACCCCTACAGGACCCAACTGGGGGACCCTGTAGAGGGGTGGTGGGAGCCTCAGGGGTGCCAGGGTTGGGCTGAGGTCCCTCAGTGCAGCTACCTGCTAACCTCTGTGTCCCCCACCCCCAGGCCTACCTCCACTCCATGAACATCATCCATCGGGACCTCAACTCCCATAACTGCCTGGTCCGAGAGGTGAGCCTGGCAGGGGAAGGGGGCTGGGGAAGGGATGGTGATGAGAGAGGCCACAGGCTGTTCACAGAAGGCAGAGGAGGGTGACTGGCGGTAGCCACTGCCCCTTGTACTATTTCCATGGGTTGTCACAGCAAACCATAGAGTGGATAACTGAAAGCAACAGAAATGCGTTCTCAGAAAGCTCAGGAAGCCAAAAGTCCAAAATCCAAGTGTTGGCAAAGTTGGGTCCTTCTATAGTCTCTGAGGGGGAATTTGTCCCAGGCCTCTCTCCAAGCTTCTGGTGGCTGCTTGGCTTCCATGGCATTCTTGACGTGCAGTCTCGTCAGTCATCTGCCTCTGCCTTGACATGGCCGCCTTCTCTCTGCCTGTGTATGTCCTCCTTTTATCATTCAGTTAGAGCCACCCTAATCCAGTGTGCCCTGATCTTAGGCAATTAGATCTGCAAAGACCCTGTTTCCAAATGAAGTCACATTGATGTTCTAAATGGACATGAATCTGGAAGTCACTGTCCATCACACTGCAGGCAGGTGAAGATTCAGAGAGGACATTTTCTAGACAGGTGGCCAGGTTTTCTAGGTGGCGGCAACAGCACATGCAAAGGCCCTGTGGTGTGAGTCAGGAAGCAGTGGACAGTGGACCGGGAGTCCCTGCCCTTTGGGCCTGCCCAGGAGGCTGCTGGAAGCAGTCTGCACAGCAAGGTGGGGGCCTGAGCCCCACCTCCCAGGGAGCTAGCTCCCTGCTAGTCATGGCCATCGCTGCAATACCCAGCCTGAGCAGGGTGTGCTGGGTAGGGTGAGGAAAGGTTCTCACAACAGGGACTGTCCCCTTTAGAGTCTAATGAGAGCTGTGAGCCCCTATGTCTCCAGAATCCATTTGTGTACAAAAAAGCTTTGCCGATGATTTGGCAGAAAGTGATCAGAGGCCCCTTGTGTTGGGCATGTCCTGGGCTATCTGTGGACTAATGCAGACTCCAGGCTAGCACCAGGTGGCAAGTGGCCATGGCAGCACTCAGTGGGCTCTGCTTTGTTGTCACCCCAGAACAAGAATGTGGTAGTGGCTGACTTCGGGCTAGCACGGCTCATGGTGGAAGAAAAGACAAAGTCTGATGACCTGCGAAGCCTTAAGAAGCCAGACCGCAAGAAGCGCTACACAGTGGTGGGCAACCCCTACTGGATGGCGCCCGAGATGATCAATGGTGAGTGGGGGCTGCCCCTGGGCCCCAGGGACCCCAGACCCAGCCGGGCCACCCAACCCTTGGCCTCTCCCAGCCTCAGCCCCCAGCTTCCTCTTAGGTCCCTGTGTTGGCTTCCTTTTGCTGCGATGACAAATCACCACACACTTGGTTTGAAAAACACAATGACCTTGTCGTTCTGATCAGAGGTCCAGCGTCAGTCTTGCTGAGCAGAAATCAAGGATCAGTAGGGCTTGCTCCCTTCTGGAGGCTCCAAGGGAGAACCTGCTTGCTTTTCCAGCTTCTAAAGGCTCCCTCATCCCTGTTCATGGCCCCTGCCTCACCCGAGCCATTGTCACAGCTCCCTCTCTGGCCTCACCGCATCCCTCTTCCATACGGACCTTGTGATTACACAGGGCTCACCTGCATAGTCAAGGGCACTCTCCCGATCTCAGACCTTAACTTCCTCACACCTGCAGAGCCCCAGGTAGGGGAGCATGTTCTCAGGTCCAGGGATGAGGGCATGGACATCGGCCTCCGGTCAGCCTCACACAGCTCCTCTGATTCTTGACCAGGCCTATCATGGCCCCTCCATGGCAAGCGATGTGGCAACACAAGATCAGGACTGGCCGACCCGGAGCGTCTCAGTGTCAGCTCTGTGCAGTTAGCATAGCTCCCCAGATAAGGTCCGAGGTGGGACTCACAGCCCCTGCTTTTAGGGAGTGACTCCAGCACCAACTCAGATTGGTAAAGTAGTCAGCATTCAGTAGATAAGAGTGTTGATTGACTTTTTTTTTATTTTTAAAGATTTATTTATTTATTTATTTATTTATTTATTTATACAAGCTCTGGGTACAGTCAGAAGCGCGGGAGAGTGAGAGAATTCACCAGAGCCAGAGCGGGGAGCAGAGCAGGCAGAAGGACCGAAGTACACTGCTGAGGGGAGCAGCGGGCGGCAGGAGAGGTCTGCGCGCCATGTGGGACCCTCCTCCGGTCGCCGGGGAGCAGCTGGGGATCGAACTGGCGCTGCAGAGGCTGTGGGCAGCTTCGCAACCAGCGCTCAACTGCTGCGCCACCGGGGAGGCCCATGATTGACTTTTCTTTAAAGATATATTTATTATATAAGTATACAATGTAATGATTCAATATTTGTATGTATTGTGAAGTACTACAGTGAGTCTAGTTAATGAACATCTCTCACCACACATAATTGCAAATGTTTTTTTCTTGCTTTCTTTAGTAGAACTTTTAATCTCTACTCTCAGCAACTTACAAACATGCAATTCGGTGTCCTCACTTGCTGTCGCCAGCAAGTACTTTACATCCCCAGAATTATTTATTTTATGACTGGAAGTTTGTAGTCTTGGACCTCCACCCATTTCACCCACCCCACCCTGCCTCTGGTGCCTGTCAATCTGTTCTCTGTATCCGTGAGCTTGAGACGGTAAGATCGTAAGATCATACAGTATTTGTCCGTGACTTATTTCACTTAGCATAACGCCCTCAAGATCTGTCCATGTTGTCACAAATGGCAGGGTTTCCTTCTTTTCTCTGAAATTCTTTTCATGCAGTCTCATGGAATAGTATTCTGTTGCATACGACCACAACCTCTTTATCCATTCATCCTGATGAAGTGGACTGATTGTTTCAAACATTCTTAATTTGGTAGTATTACTCTCCTTGTCCCAATAGGGAAACAGGCTATATTTGTTCTTGGGGCTGCTATAACAAATCTCCACAAACCAGGTGACTTAAGTAACAGAAATTGGCTCTCATAGTTCTGGAAGTCTGGTAGTGGGGGCCACAGACAGCTGGGTGGGCCAGGCTCAGTCAGGGACTTTGGGATGTCCATGTTCTAGAAGTCTGAAGTCCAGTACAGCTGTGCTCCCTTCAGGATATTTAGGGGAGAACCTATTCCTGGCTTTTTCTAGCTTTGGATGGGCATCCCTGGACTCCGCCCCCATCTTCACATGGCCACCTCCTCACCTTCCGTGTCCACTCCTCCTCTGTTTCTCTTATTGGGACACATGAGACAGCCGTTAGGGCCCTCGTGCGTAATCCAGAATTAGCTCAGGATCCTTAATCATGTCTGCAAAACCCTTTTTCTTTTTCCAATAAAGTAACATTCAGGTTCCAGGGGGTTGACATGGTTATCTTTTGGGGCAACCACAGAATTCATGACTTGCCCGTGACTGTGCAGGGCTCAGAGCCCCTTGCCCAGGACTCCCATTCTCACCACCAGGAGTGCTGAGATCAGGTGGGGTCAGGGAGCAGAGCCCACTCCCTGGTCCCATGGAGGCTGCTAGCACCTGCCTCTTGCTCCCAATCCACTGGCTGGGTTCACCCAGCTCGCCATCCCTAGCCCAGCCTCGCCTGCTGACAGTCCTTCTCTCTGTGCAGGCCGCAGCTATGATGAGAAGGTGGATGTGTTTTCCTTTGGAATCGTCCTGTGCGAGGTAGGTCCAGGGTTAGGTAGTGGTTGGTGTTGGGTCCAGTGGCTTCACTGCACTCCCCATACTCTCAGGCTGCAGGCTGGAAGTCTGCAGGGGCCTCAGGGAGCAGGGCTGGCTGCCCACAGCAATCTGCATTCCCCTGGGAGTGCAGGGGCAGGCGGGCACCACACCAGTGTCACTTACCCTCAAACCCACCTGGGTGGCTCCCTGCACCAGCATCCCCAGGGTAACTACTGGGCCTCTTGCTGAACAGATCATCGGGCGTGTGAACGCTGACCCCGACTACCTGCCCCGCACCATGGACTTTGGTCTCAATGTTCGAGGCTTCCTGGACCGCTACTGCCCCCCAAACTGCCCCCCAAGCTTCTTCCCCATCACTGTACGCTGCTGTGACCTGGACCCTGAGAAGAGGTGAGTGAGTTGGGGGCTTGGTGGTGAGGGCTCGAGTGGCCTTGGAGGTGGGACCAGCCTCCAGCAGAACCAGAAACCACCATCTCTTCCTTCACCCCACCCCCTGTCACCTAGACCCTCCTTCATAAAGCTGGAGCAGTGGCTGGAGACCCTCCGCATGCACTTGGCCGGCCACCTGCCACTGGGCACACAGCTGGAGCAGCTGGACAGGGGCTTCTGGGAGACCTACCGGCGTGGTGAAAGTGGACTGCCTGCCCACCCCGAGGTCCCTGACTGAGCCCGGCCCACTCAGCTACCTTGGCCCCCACCTCCAGAGAATCCACCCTGCACCAGATTCCTCTGCAGGAGGTGGCTGGGTGTGGCACTCTCAGCCCGGCAGCAGGCACCCAGCCCCTCCTGAGCACCAGGCCCTGACTCGCCTTCTCTTGCCCTGGGAGCCATAGCTCCTGCCTTGTCTCTGTCCCTGGCCCTGAGCTGGTCCAGCTGCACACACACCATCACCTCACCCTGCCTTACCTCTGTCTTAGTGGGGCCGCTCCGCCTCTCGCTTCTCCTTGCATGAGCTGGAGGGCCCATGTGAGTTGTGTCCCATGCCACGCGCCACCATCCTATGCATGCTCCACCATCTGTAGGTCATGCAGGGGCGGCTGGAGGACGCCTCAGACCAGGCCTCCCCAGGAAGGTGTGTTGCACAGGAGAGGCCATATTCCTAGGAGCCAGATGGGGAATCTGGGGCCTGTTACCCCCAGGCAGTGCCCAGGTAGCTGCAGGTATTGGTAGTTATCCAAACCCCTAATGCAGAGAGACGTCTGCTCCTGTTGGGTAAAACCCCTATGTCCAGGTAGCTGCTCTCTCTTGCTTTGGGTCATTTTGTTTCTTTATTGAAACCACTTTAGTCAGAAGCAGGTACCAGGGTGAGGAGAGGGGAGCTGTGGCCTCTAGGCCAGAGCTGCAGGGGGGAGCAGCAGAGAGAGGTTGGGCAGAGCGGACAAGGAAAGTCCACCAGCATCTCAGCCCCTGAAGTTCATCTCAGTGCCCCCCCAGGCCTCTCCTCGAGGCTTCCTGCCGGTGGCTGGAGCTGCCCCCGCATCCCCTCCCCAGTGTCCCTCTGTCCTCTGGGTTCTTTCTGTGTAATCTATTTTTTAAGGAGAGTTTGTATTATTTTTTCATACGGCTGCAGCAGCAGCTGCCTGGGGCTTGGGGTTTTATTTTTTTGGCGGGCGGGGGCGGGAGGGCCATTTTGTCACTTTGCCTCAGTTGAGCATCTAGAAAGTATTAAAAACTGTGAAACCTTCTCAGTGCACTTTGAACCTGGAAAACAATTTTAAACAGGCCCATGGGACTACCACTCAGGGAGGTGAGACAGTCACCTCCATCCAGGAATTGTCATGTCTAAGGAGCAAAACCCAGACACAGAACAATAAATAAATTCTGTATTCCCCACCCAGACCCCATGTTGCCATGTGTGTCCCGGGGCCCCATAGAAATAGGACAAGAGAGGAACTTGTGCCTAGAGGCCTGGTGGAAGATGGGAGGAGTGTAGGCAGTGGACACCCAGGACAGGAGAGTCTGACCTCAGCCCAGTGTTGTGTAGTACAGGTAGCTCAGCTGGGACAAGTCCAGACTTTTCCAAATTTCCTGGGTTGTGGAAGGAGAACAGGGAGGCACTAAGGAGTGTTTTGCTTTCTTTTAATGTTTTCTTCCTGAAACTGAAAGCATCCTATCAAGAAAACAGAAACCACACTAGTTACTCAAATATAGGGCATTTAATCCAGGGACATACTTACACTGCTGCTGGAAGACATTTGATTGGTAGGATGTGAATACTGGGGTAACCCAGAGATAATGAACTGCAGGAAGCATTTAAGAAACATGGTTACTTGAGTTATTGATTTGCTTAACATACCACCCTTTCAACTTGATGGCTTAAAATAACAGCAATCGCTCCTTACACTTTCTCTGTCAAGAATATTGGGAGCACCTTGGTGGGTAGTTCGGTCTGGTGTCTCCTGAGGTGGGTGGGTGGTTTTCACCTGGGGTCTCTCCTGTTGTTTTGGTCAGTTATTGGGGCTGCAGAGTCTGAGGCATGATGAGGGCCAGAGGACTAAAGAGCCTTGCCCGGGGTTCACTCACGCGACTGGCAAGTTGATGCTGGTGTCAGTGGGAGGCTCAGTCCTGCTCAGGGCATTTTGTCCTCACAGCAGCCTCTAGGGTGAACATACCATGAGAGCAAAGCAGAAGCACCATGTCTTTTATGACCTAGTCTCAGAAGTCACGCGGCATCATGTCATGATATTCCATTGGTCACAGAGGCCAACCTTGATTAGGTGTGGGAGAGGACCATACAAGGTCACAAATACCAGGGCCAGGCGGGGTCACAGGGGCTAATCTTGGACACTGGGTTGGAACTTGGAGGAAGGAACCCATTGGGACCAGTGCTTGCATTTTTTATGAGTTGGGGGTGAGGGTTGGACTCAAAGCAGTTGGTGCTGGAAGCTCTAAGAAGGTAGGTAAAAAACGGTCGGTGCTGGAGCCAGTGTCTGCTAATGCTGAAAGGCAGTGGAGAGCGGAAGAAAGTCTCTTCTCTTTCACTTTCAAGTCTCTTAACTGGCCAACAGCCAACTGGCCAGGAAGTCTGGGAAATGTAGTTTTCAGTGGTCCAGCAATATCACAGAAAGGAAAAGGGACTGAGCTATCTCTTGGGGCTGAGATAGAGTAAACAGCCAGCAGAGTCCACCCTTTTGGGTCTCATCACCCCACACCCCTTTCTGGCATTCAGTTTCCATACAACGCTTACAACTTTGTGGCTCTACCTAGCAAGAGGGAAGCATCTTCTGTGTATAGTTGGATCATTCTCTCCCAGAAAAGGAGGTTCAGCAAATTTCCATAGTCATCATCTCCACTCAGTGTTAATTCCAGGCAGGATTCCACTAGAATATTCTGAAACCTAAAGACTTAAAAGTTCATCATCATCAACACGTAAAGTAAGTGGGAAAGGAAAAGTTGACGGGCACATGCTCAAAGAAGAAAATATACAACAGAACGGAGTCCTCATTTCTACAATTGGTTATGATGTCATAATTGCTTTTTTACCACTTATAAGATCATTCACACAAAAGTTACTCACTTGAAAGGTAAAATTCAATAGTTTCCAATGTATTCACAGAGTTATGCAACCATTGCCACAACTTAGGACATTTTCATCACCCTAAAAGGAAACCCTGTATCCACTAGCACTTATTCCCTATACCCGCACTAATATTTCTCTGAATTTGCCTCATCTGGACATTTCATATACATAGAATCGCCAATATGTGACCTTATATGTCTGATTTAACGTGACATTTTCAAGGTCCATCTACACTGTAGCATGTATTGGTACTTCATTCGTTTTTATGACTGCATAGTATTTCACTGTGTGTTCTGTGTATGCCAGATCTTACCAATCAATGAAGCAATTGGACATTTGAGTTTTCAACTTTTGGCTATTACAAGTAATGCAACTATGAACATCCATGTGCAGGTTTGTGTGTATACATATGTTTTCATTTCTCTTGTTTATGTATCTAAGAGTGGAAATGCTGGATGCTATCATAGAGATGTGATGACTCTGTGTTTTAACATTCTGAGGTCCTGCACACTGTTGGGTATTGTGGCTGCATCATTTTAAATATTCCCACTAGCAGGGAATGACAATTCCAATTTCTCCACATTCCCATGGGTTTTTTTTAAATAATTGAATCACTATTACACTCATGGGATAAACCCTAGTTGGTCATAGTACATTATTTTTAGATATTGATGGATTCTATTTACTAATATTTTGCTGAAGATGGTTGTTTTTATATTCTTGAATGCTACTGGAGTGTAATTTTCTCTTGTATCTGATTTTGGTTTCTCAGTGATTCTGACCTCATAAAATGAGTTAGAAAATGTTTCCTTCTCTTCTGTTTTCTGGAAGAGATTGTGTAGAATTGGTGTTTCTCCTTTTTAAATTTGCCAGTGACACCATCTGGGCCTGAAGCTTTCTTTTTTTAAGGGTTTTAAACTACAAATTCAGTTCATTTAGTAGGAAAAAAATGATAAGTCATGTTTTTTCTTTGGTAAGTTTTGGTTGACTTAAACAATCCATTTCATCAAAATGTAAAGCTTGTGCACTAAGGGACTCTATTGAGAAAGTAAGAACCCATGGAATGGGAGATAATATTTGCAAATCATATATGATAAGGGATTTGTATACAGAATGGTTAGAGAACTCAGAACACAATAATAAAAAGATAAATTTCCCATTTTTAAAAATGGGTGGAGGTCTTGAATAGGTATTTCTCAAAGAAGACAGGAATGACCAATAAGCATGTGAAAAAATGCAAACCCACAGTGAGAGACCTCTGCACGCCCATAGCAATAAAAAATGACACAATGTAAGGTGTTAAGACAGTAATAAGTGAGGATGTGAAAAAATTGAAACCCTCATACATTGCTATCAGGAATGTAAAAGGAGTTTATTTGGGCAATGAAGAAAATGTTCTGGAATTAGTGTGATGGTTGCACAACTCTGAACATGTTAAAAACCACTGAATTGTATACTTGAAAATGGTGGATTTTAAGGAATGTGAATTAGATCTCACTTTTAAAAATCAGTCAATGTTCTCTATTCTATTACTAGATCATTATCAAAAAACTGAAGCATTGACAGAAAAGGTTTGCAGATTTAAAAAATAACTTAGCAAACTAAAAATACACAGTGACTTCCTCGAAGCAAAGAAGGGTGGCTTCAAAAACCAACAGCTAATTATACTTAAGAGTGAAAGAATATGGGGCCTCCCTGGTGGCGCAGGCGGTTGAGCGCTGCACTGTGAAGCTGTCCACAGCCTCTGCAGTGCAGGTTCAATTCCTGCCAGCCGTTGAGAATCCCACATGGCACAGCAGACCTCTCCTGTCTCGCCCACTGCTCCCTTCAGCAGTGTATTTCGTCAGTCTGCCTGTTCTGTTCCCTGCTCTGTCTCTGGTGAATCCTCTTACCCTCCCACGCATCTGGCCTGTACCCTGGTTCTTGTATAAATAAATAAATCTTTAAAAAAAAAAAAAAGTGAAAGAATGTGGGCCTCCCTGATGGCCTAGGGGTTAAGTCTCAGTGCTATCACCACTACAGCCTGAATTTGATCCCTGGCCATGGAACTGACCTACATGGTGCAGCAGATCTCTCCTGTCTCGCCAGCTGCTCCCCTCAGCAGAATATTTCAGTACATCCACCTGTTCTACTCCCCACTCTGTCTCTGGTAAATTGTCTCAACTCCCGCACCTCTGGCCTACACCCCAGTTCATCTATATAAAAATAAAATCTAAAAAAAAAAAAAAAAAGTGAAAGAATGTGTGCTTTCTCCCTAAAATCAGGTGAGAAAGGGCAGGAGGTACAACTGGCCCTCTCCTATTCGCCCTGGACCAGAAGCCCTGAACAGCCCAGGAAGATAAGGAAACAGACAAGAAGGTTTAGAAGTACACAGGTGGGAAAGGAAGAAACAGAACTTTTCTTATTTCAGAGGATGTGATCATCTACATAGACATGAATCTGCCAAAAAAAAAAAAAAAAAAAAACCCTAAAATGAAATTTAGCAAAGTTAGAAGATACAGTTGTATTTCTATATACTACCAAGTAACAGTTGGAAACCAAAGTATTTTTAAACACCATCTTGAACAGCTTGAAAAAAAGAAATCTAACAAAAGTGAGTCTAAAAATTATAAATCCAACTATAAAATGCTGAAGAAAGAAACCAAAGAAGACTAAGTGGGGAGACCTCATCTTCAGATGTTAATTCTGCCCAAATTGATCTATTGATTTAACTCAATTCCAACCAAAGTCCCAGGATTTTTTTTTTTTTTTTGTAGAAATAGACAAACTGACTTTAAAACTTATATGGAAAAACAGGGACTAAGAAAGCTAAAACAATTTTAGAGAAAGAAAAAGTTGGAAGGAAAGCGCACTACTCAACTTGAAGACTTACTATAAATCTACACTGTACTGTGACAGGTACCGGCAAAGGAATGGACAGAGAAACCAGTGGAGCAGAACAGAGCTCACAGGGATACCCACATATAGAGAGCCACTTGCTTTTTTTTTTTTTTTTTAAGATTTATTTATTTATTTATACAAGCACTGGGTACAGTCAGAAGCACAGGAGGGTGAGAGGGTTCACCAGAGACAGAGCTGGGAACAGAACAGGCAGACTGATGAAGTACACTGCTGAGGGGAGCAGTGGGCACGGCAGGAAAGGTCTGCGCACCATGTGGGACCCTCGCAGGTGGCCAGGGAGTGAACCGGCGCTGCAGAGGCTACGGGCAGCTTCGTAGCCCAGCGCTCAACCGCTGCGCCACCAGGGGAAGCCCTTTTTTTTTTTTTTTTAAGATTTATTTTTTATTTATACAAGCACTGGGGTAGAGGTCAGAGGCACGGGAGGGTGAGAGGATTCACCAGAGACAGAACGGGGAGCAGAACATGCAGACGGACCAAAAGCACTGCTGAGGGGAGCAGCAGGCTAGACAGGAGAGGTCTGCCTTGCCTTGTGGGAATCTCCCTGGCCGGCAGGAAATTGAACCAGCACTGCAGAGGCTGCGGATGGCTTCACAGCACTGTGCTCTACCCGCTGTGCCACAGAGAGGCCACTTGCTTCTTAACAAAGATGCAAAGGCAATTTAATAAAGGATAGTCTTTACAACAAGTGTCTTTGGAATAATAGGACATCCATATATCCTAAATAAGCAAAATCCCAGATTAATTCTCAAATTTCAAAAATTAACTCAAACTGGGTCATAAATATAAAAGTATAAAATGTTGAGAAGAAAACAGGAGAGAGTCTGCATGATTTTGGGCTAAGCAGAGCTCTTAGATATGACTGCAAAGGCACAATCCACAAAAGAGAAAAAAATTGATAAATTGGACTTTTGCTCTACAAAAATACAGAGAGAATAAAGAGACAAAAATCAGATAGGAAGAAAACATTTGTAAATCATATCTGGAAAAGAATATCTAAATAACTGTCAAAACTGAAAAATAAAGCAAACAAACCAGTTGTTTTTTTTTAAGTAGGCAAAAGGTTTTTATATCACTACATCTGAAAACAGATATCACTCAGGGACATACAAATTAAAATTGCAATGAGATGTAACTCACACCTAATAGAATGGCTGCAACGCCAAGTGTTGGTGAGTACTTGGAGGAACTGGAACACTCATATATTGCTAGCAGGAATGCCAAGTGACACAGCCACTCTTTATTCTTACAAAGTCATACATTTATCATCGTTGTACTGTATAATTTACCATATAACCCTATAAAACCATTCCTAGGTATTTGCACTGGAGAAATTAAAACTTGTGTACACATACCCTATACGTACATGAATGTTTCTACAGGCTCTCTTCAATAACTGACAAAACCTGGAAATGACCCAGATGACCTACAGGTAAATGAATAAACTGCAGTAAGCCCATGAGTGGAATCCTACTTAGTAACAAAGAGGAATGATCCTTTGAGACATGCAACATTGATAAATCTCAAAAGCACTATACTGAGTGAAAGAAGTCAATCTCAAAAGATTACAGACAGTATGATTCTAGACATTCTAGAAAAGGCAAGATTGCAGGAATGGAGAATGCCCAGGGATTAGACGGGGGCAAGAATTAACTAAAATTAAGCAACAGGAGGGAGTTTTTTGAGGGTGATAGGACTTCTATATTCGAATTATGGTTGTGGTTATATTAATCTATAAATATGTTGAAACACGTGGAACTGAAGGCAGAAAAAGAAATCTATTTTACTCTAGAGTTTAAAATAATACTTTTTAAAAGCCTAACCAAAGTCAAGAGTAAATACTTGCAACATATAAAAAATATTTGTAAACATATATTTAAATTGAACTGGCCATATATAGTTTGGATTGAGTTGGATTGGACTAGATTAAAACCAAACAAGTAGACTTCAGAACTGGGAAAATTATTAGGAGTAAAGAGGAAATTACATTACGATCAAAGTGTTAATAACCAAGAAGACGTAACTGAAATGTGCAGGTACGTGAAAACATTGTTTTGAAATACATGAAGCAATTGGAAGGAAAACATAGACATCATCCAGCACCAACTCTCTAGTTGTGTGAAGTATCTTTGAGGTGGATCCTCCCAGGTCTAGTCAAGTCTTCAACTGACCATGGCCTCAGCTAATCTCTTTGCTGCAAACTTACTTTCTGAGCCAGGACTGTCCAGATACGCCATTCCTGATTTTTGGGCCTCAGGAACTTAGATAAGCCTTTACTATTTTAAGTCACTGAATTCTAAAATAACTTGTTCAGTGGCAACAGATATCTGATACAGCCACCGTAAAAACCTCTCCAATTCTCTGACCATGACTTGAGTTGAAAATTTGAAGCCCCAAGCTAATCCTTTTCTTTCTGCAACTGCAGGTCATCAGAAAGAGCCAGCCCACCTCACCATCCTTATAGTTTTCTTTTTTTTTTTTCTAAGGCACGTATTTTATTTTATTATTTGTTTGTTTGTTTATACAAGCACTGGGTACAGTCAGAAGCACGGGAGGGTGAGAGAATTCACCAGAGCCAGAGCGGGGAGCAGGGCAGGCAGAAGGACCGAAGCACACTGCTGAGGGGAGCAGCGGGCGGCAGGAGAGGGCGGGCAGGAGAGGTCTGCGCGCCGTGTGGGACCCTCCTCCGGTGGGCGGGGAGCAGCCGGGGATTGAACCGGTGCCGCAGAGGCCGCGGGGAGCTTCGCAACCCAGCGCTCAACCGCTGCGCCACCCGGGAGGCCCATCCTTATAGTTTTCTTAGCCACTTGTTTTCACATGGCATTGAGTTTGACAGATACTCCATCTCAAGCAACTATGAGTGATAATTAAATTTACTAAGGCACCTCTTTTTAAATTTTTTTTTACTTAGAACTGGGGTACAGGCCAGAGGTGCGGCAGTGAGAGGATTCACCAGAGACAGAGTGGGCAGAAGAGCAGTCAGATTTACAGAAATGCACTGCTGAGGGGAGTAGCAGGCAAGTCAGGAGAGATCTGCTGTGCCATATGTGGGTCTGCAGCTCCCTGACTCAGGCCATATGTTGATGGGTGCTGAGACTTAACCCCTGGGCCACGAGGGAGGCCCCTAAGGTGCCTCTGTGCTAGACTCTGGGATACCAGAATCCCATATACATTGACAAGGTGCTCAGCATTGAGTTCAAAATCAAAAATAAACCAAATCAAGTTCACAATCTCAAGGTCTTATTCTCTTGCCAGCTGACTTCCTTCTAACTTCTGACAACAGGAAGCACTAAAGGAACCTTGGAAGATGGACAAAAGGGAAAAATACTTCCTTCCAGTTTTCCAAGGATTGTCTGTTACTCAAGCAGCATTTGGCTTCTTCCCTAAACCACTTTGAGCACACAAGAGCTCAGGCTGCCCAAAGCTCTCCCTCTTCGGAGCTCGAGCTCCTCCTCAGTAACCTGAACATCACCCTGTCCTCAGGGTGCTGAACACCAGCTCCATGGAGATGCAGCTTAGAGCTTCTAGGTCCTGGTAAATTATACATTTCAGTTTCTGTTATCCTGACTGGTCTCTAATTGATGTAGTACTGGTACCAGGAAAGGAGCTGAAATATTTGCAGAATAAAATAATGGGTATTTGAACTTACAAGAACTAGGCTCCTAGCTACCATCTTACTCTCAGAATGAGCACCTGATAAATTATTCACTCAATAATTAAATCATTCAATATTTATTCTACGTTAACCTCTTGACCATTCCATTCCATCAAACCAGCCATCAACCCCCTCTGCCTCCCCTTCTTGGCCCTATAAATAAATTTAAATGAGATTCATTCAGACTCTACAGCCCTCTATTTGAACAACAAATACAATCGGTTTGTAGTTTTATTAAATTTTTCAAAGAAAGGAAGGGGAAATTTTCAATGAGCCTTTCTTGACTATAACAAAAATAATCTTAATTATTTATATCTTTCAGAAATCATATGCATCAAATGTTATAAAGGCAATCAATTATTAAATAAGATAACCAGTATGTAGAATTTCAGGGATTATTATTTACAGTTTATGAAAATATAGTAAAAAAAAAACCCTAAAGTTTGAGTATCTTAAAAGACTAATTTGAACAAATGCCATTTCATGAAGAGGATTATACATTTGCACACTATCATATCAGACAGGAGTGTGGAACTGTCACTATTGTGAATACTCTCAATTTCCTATAGCTTTGTGAGAATGATGTCTGCACTTCAGCAGCTGTAGAACAAGAACATACAGTGTAAATGTCTTTTTCTAAGATTTTCTTGATTAGCAGCATTTTCAAGCCTATCCCCCAGAATTCCATTAGTTAGCACTGAAAAAAGAAGAGATTTAATGAGCCTAAAACACAAAATGTGGAAAATGAATTGCCAAGACAATTTTTAGACAAATTTTAAGCACAGTAAAATGCACAAATCTTAAGTGCCTAATGTGAAGAACTGTAATAAATGTATACACCCAGGTAACCACTGTGCCAATCAAGATATAGAACATCTTCATGTCTCTAGAAAGTTCCCTTTTTTCTCCTCCTATCAACCCCCTGCACCACCACCCCAAAGGCACCCACTGTTATGATTTCTTTCAAATTAGAATATATTTTCCTGTTCTCTTTTCCTGTCCCTTCAAATAAATGGAATCCAACAGCATTAGCTTTTTTATGTTTACCTTATTTTGTTCAACATGATTCTTTCCAGGTGCATCCATGTTGCTGAGTACAGTTGTATTTGATCCTTGCAGCTCATTTATATTTCATTGTATGAATATACTCCAATTTGTTTATACATTTTTCTGTTAATGGACATTTTGGTTGTTCCCAGTTTCGGGCTATTACACAATTATATACAAATCATTGCAATGATATGTGTTTTCATTTCTATTGAATAAATACCCAGAAGTGAAATGGCTAGGTCATATGGTATGTGTTTAACTTTATAAGAAACTGCCTAAGTGGCTGCACATTGTTCATTTCCACCAGCAATGCCTGTAAGTTCTAGCTGCTCTGTGCCCTCAACAGCTGTGGGCATGATCAGTCTTATTTTTAGTCACTGGCATCTAATTGTGAATTTAATATGTATTTCTCTAGTGCCCCATTGTATTGATTGGCATGGTGGTTACCTAGGGGTAGACATCTGTATGCCTTAAAGTGAGCATCTTTCCATTTGCTTATTTGCCATCCATATATATTCTTTGGTAAAGTATCTGTTCAAAACTTTTAGAGCTCAGTACACTAACACTTATACTAAAACTGAAATAGACATAGCAGATTAGCACGGCCCCTGAGCAAGGAAGACACATAGATTCATGAAGCCTAATAATTCCTAAGCTAAGCAATACTTAATACATGTAGGATTTTTTTTTTAAAGATTTATTTATGCGCTCAAGAACTGGGGTACAGGCTAGAAGTGTAGGGGGTGAGAGGAGTCACTAGAAACAGAGTGGGGAACAGAACAGGCAGATTGACTGGGGCGTCCCTGGTGGCGCAAGGGGTTAAGCAACACACTATGAAGCAATCCGCAGCCTCTGCAGCACAAGTTCGATCCCCGGCCAGCCAGGAGCAACCCACATGGCACAGCAGACTTCTCCTGACTCTCCCGCTGCTCCCCTCAGCAGTGTGTTTCAGTCAGTCTGCCTGTTCTGTTCCCCACTCTGTCTCTGGTGAATCCTCTCATGCCCCGCATCTCTGGCCTGTACCCCAGCTCTTGTATGCATAAATAAATGAATCTTTAAAAAAAAAAAAGAAACAGGCAGATTGACTGAAATACACTGCTGAGGGGAGCAGCAGGCATGTCAGGAGAGGTCTGCTGCACCATGTGGGTATCTCCCTGGCTGGGGATCAAAATTGTGCTACAGTGACTGTGGATAGCTTCATAGGATGCATTTCAACCCCTTGCACCACCAGGGAGGCCCTATAACGTAGTTTTTATTAAGATATTATTCACATGCCATGTAACTTATCCTTTTAGTGGAACTCGAGTGGTTTTAAACATATTTACAATGTTGTGCAACCGTCACCACTATTAATAACAGAACATTTGCATCACCCCTACTTTACACTAATAGACACTTCTCATTCCATCCTATTCACAGTTTCTGAAAACTACTTACCTAGTTTTTGTCTCTGGATTTGCCTGTCCTGGACATCCCGTATAAGTGGAGTCACACAATAGTAACATTTTGTGTTTGGCTTCTTTCAATTAACATAATATTTTCAAGGTTCACCCATGTTGGAGCATATGTGGGTGCATCATGCCTTTCTGTGTCTGGATGCTATTCCTCTGCATATGTCCTTTTTATCCATTCATGAACTGGTGGACAATTGGACATTGTGGAGAATTGGTAGACAAATTGTTTCCATCTTTGGACTATTAAGAATAAACATTTGTGGGCCTCCCTGCTGGCGCAGCGACTGAGCACTGGGTTGTAAGGCTGCCCGCAGCCTCTGCAGCACTGGTTCGATCCCCGGCCGCCAGGCGAGGGTCCCACATGGCGCGCAGACCTCTCCTGCCACCCGCTGCTCCCCTCAGCAGTGTACTTCGTCACTCTGCCTGTTCTACTCTCTGCTCTGGCTCTGGTGAATTCTCTCACCCTCCCGTGCCTCTGACTGTACACAGTGCTTGTGTAAATAAATAAATAAATCTTTAAAAAAAAGAAAAAGAAAAGAAAGAAGTCTTCCTTTAAAAAAAAAAAAAAAGAATAAACATTGGTTACCAGTTTTCATGTGAACATGTGTTTTCAGCTTTCTTGCATATATACCTTAAGGTGAATTTCTGGGTCATATGGTAACTTTATGGTAAACACTTTGAGGTAGTGACAAACTTTTCCAACTTTGTGGGAATGTGGCTAAGTCCTTTTACGGTTCCACCAGCAAGAAATGAGGAATTTGATTTCTCCAGATCCTCACAAACACTTGTTATTGTCTTTTTTATTATAGACATCCTAGTAAGGGGGAATGTGGTATCTTGATTTAATTTGTACTTCCTTAATGGCTAACGATGCTGGGCACATTTCCATGTGTGTTAGCTATTGTATATCTTCCCTGGCCAAACATGTTCAGATCTTTTGCCCATTTTTTTTAAAGATTTATTTTTTTATTTATATATACAAGAACAGGGTGTGGGGGCCGGGGGTGGAGATGAGAGGGTTCACCAGAGACAGAGTGGGGAACAGAACAGGCAGATCAACAGAACTACACTGCTGAGGGGAGCAGCGGGCAAGTCAGGAGAGGTCTGCTGTGCCATGTGGTTAGCTCCCTGGCTGGGGATTGAACTCATGCTGCACTGGCTGCAGATTGTTTCATAGGTTGTGTCTTAACCCCTTGCGCCACCAGGGAGGCCCTCTTTTGCCCATTTTTAATTGGGTTATATTTTTGTTGTTGTTGTTTCAAATTATTTATGTATTCTGTATAGTAAATCCTTGTCAGAACAGATATGTGACTTGCAAATATTTTCTTCTATTCCTTTGTCTTTTTTCCTTCTTAATGGTGTCTTTTATGTATAGGTTCTCAATTTCGATGAGGTCCAATTTATCTAGTTTTTACTTTGCTGCTTATACTTCAGGTGACTCCTAAAAAGCCATTGTCTCACACAGGATCAAAAAGATTTACCTCTTGCTTTCTTCTAAGAGCTTTAGAGTGTCCGTTCTTACATTTAGTTCTGTGATTCATTGTACGTTAATTTTTGTCTATCATGTGAGGAGCAGGAATACAGGTTCAATATTTTTGCATGTGGATATCCATTTTTCCCAGTACCGCTTGTCACACAGAGACTGTTCTCTCCCCCTGGAATGGGGAATTCTAGCACCCCTGTCAAAAATCAATGGACCATAATGTATGGGTTTATTTCTGAACTTTTTATTGTATTCTATTAATACAGTTTTGTCTTGATGCCAATGCCAACAGTCTGGATTACACTAGTTTTATAGTAACCTTTAAGATTGGGAAGCTTTGAACAAAGCTCCAGCTTTGTTCTTGTCTTTCAAGATTGCTTTGGCTATTTGGGGTCCCTCGATTTCCTATATGAAAGTTTGTCCATTTCTGAAGAAACAAAATCAAGCTGGAGTTTTTTGTAGGGTTTGCTTTGAATCCGTAGGTCAATTGAAGAGGGTATGAGTATTGACACCTTAATAATAATAAGTCTTACAAATCCACTGACATGTCTTTCCATTTATTTAGGTCTTCTTTAATTTTTTTTCAATGATATTTTTGTAATATACAGTGTATAAATCTTGTAGTTTGCTAAAATTATTCCTAATAGTTCTGTTTTTCTAATTAAATTGTTCTTTTAGTTTCTTTTTTGGATTGTTCACTGATAGTGACTATAAATATATTTGAGTTTTTGTGTATTAATATTGTGTCCCTGATGGATTTTTGTTAGCCCTGCTCATTTTTTGTGGATTTATTAGGGTTTTCTATATGTCATCTGTAAATAGCATAGTTTTACTTTTTCCATTCCAGTCTGGATGTCTTTATGTGTATTTCTTCTCTAATTGCCCTGCCTAGAACCTCCAACACAATGTTGAATAAAAGTAGCCAAAGCAGACATTCTAGTTTTGTTTTTTGGTCTTGGAAAGCTTTCGGTCTCTTGCCACTACATCTGATGTTAGCTGTGGAATGTTCATATATGCCCAGACTCAAGCTGAGGAAATTGCCTTCTGGTCTGAGCTTAGTGTTTTTATCATGGGAGGACTTGAATTTTGTCAAATTCTTGGTCTATATCCATTCAGATAATCATGTGCATTTGTAGACAACATTTTAAATTGAAAAAGAACTAATTGGGGCCTCCCTGGTGGCTCAAGGGGTTAAGTCTCCGCACTATGAAGCTATCTGCAGCCACTGCAATAAGAGCACTATGCCTGCCAGGGAGCTGACCCACAGGTGCAGCAGACCTCTCCTGTCTCGCCTGCTGCTCCCCTCAGCGGTATATTTTGGTGGATCTGCCTGTTCTGCTCCCCACTCTGTCTCTGGTGAATCCTCCCATCACCCATGCCTCTCACCTGCATCTTGCATGCATAAATGAATAAAAATAAAATCTTTTTTAAAAAAAGAACTAATTTTGGGCCTCCCGGTGGCGCAGCGGTTGAGCGCTGGGTTGCGAAGCTGCCTGCAGCCTCTGCAGCGCCGGTTCGATCCCCGGCTGCTCCCCGGCCACCGGAGGAGGGTCCCGCGTGGCACGCAGACCCCTCCTGCCGCCCGCTGCTCCCCTCAGCAGTGTACTTCGGTCCTTCTGCCTGCTCTGCTCCCCGCTCTGGCTCTGGTGAATTCTCTCACTCTCCCGCGCTTCTGACTGTACCCAGTGCTTGTATAAATAAATAAATCTTTAAAAAAAAAAGAACTAATTTTTAAATAGCTTAGTATTTTACTTCTATGGTTTACATGCATTTCTCATTTTTTAAGAAACTTGACAAGTTGGTCACTTACATTAAGTATTATTAAATAAAGGCAAAAACTAATTGCCTTTTAGCAAAATACTCTATGCAACAATTGCCAGTATCATAAATACGATTTTATGGTTCACAATTATAATACATGCCCTGAATATGATAAATTCACTTACTGTTTTTTAGATAGCATCTGGCTTTTAGATTAGGAATAAGGATTTTCCGGGGCCTCCCTGGTGGCATGAGGGGTTAAGCAATTCACTATGAAGAAATCTGCAGCCTCCGTGGTGAGTTCCATCCCCGGCCCACCAGGGAGCAACCCATATGGTGCAGCAGACCTCTCCTGTCTCACCCGCTGCTCCCCTTAGCAGTGTACTTTGGTCAGTCTGCCTGTTCTGTTCCCCACTCTATCTCTGGTGAATCCTCTCACCCCCTGCATCTCTGGCCTGTATCCCAGCTCTTGTATGCATAAATAAATGAATAAATCTTTTCAAAAAAAAAAAAGGAATAAGGATTTTTTCCATAAATAAAAGTTACTGCAGAACATTCAGTGGTTAACAAGTCAATTATTTTTCCTAGTTGTGGTACCACAGTATTAAAAGCATTAAGTACCTGGGATCTGTGATAGAGTTGATTTATAAGTCAAACAATGCACAAGTCTGCTTTAAAAAAGAATCCTTTCTGGTCATAATTACTTCAAAATGGAATTACATTCAAATCATCTGACATAACATGCTTTAGCAATTATAGAAGTGTGATTTTTGACACATGGCAATTTTATAAGTTAGGTGAATCCAAAATGTTAAAAGTCGTGAGCAACTATTCCTCCATTTAAGTCTAGGGTGCTGCAAAATGTAGGTAATAGTTTCGGTTAGCACTGTCAGCCTATAATGCAGCTTTATAAATCAGGAAGGTTTTTGGAAATACAAATCGAAAGTAGGTAAGTCCTTTTTTTCAAAATTTTGGCAAATCAACACAGTACTTTTTAAGACAAAACCATGATGTATTTGTTAGATTCGTATATCCCTTTAATGATAATTCCCATGGCAAAAATAACATTGAAGTACAAAATCAAATTACTAAGACTTTTCATGAGTTTATAGCAGAGCCATTTGTTTCATACAAATTAGTATGACTTTTAAAATTATATAATTTCCTTCTTTTAGAGTATATAACTTCTTTCTTGTAAGCTGCTGAGCTAAAACAGCAATCATGTATATAAAATGTGCTGTGTCCTTCTGAATTTGGCTCCAAACCACTCATAAAAAGTTTTCATGTAAGACCCTACTTTAAGAAACTCAAACATAACAACAAATTAATTTTTCAGGGCCTCACTGGTGGCATAAGGGGTTAAGATGCAAACTATGAAGCTGTGCGCAGCCTCTGCAGCATCAGTTTGATGCCCGGCCGGCCAGGGAGGAACCCACACGGTGCAGCAGACCTCTCCTGCCTTGCCCGCTGCTCCCCTCAGCAGTGTATTTCAGTCAGTCTGCCTGTTCTGCTCCTCACTCTGTCTCTGGTGAATCCTCTCACCCCCACACCTCTGGCCTGTACCCCAGTTCTTGTATGCATAAATAAATAAATCTTTAAAAAAATTAATTGTTCAAATATCAGTAAGCCTTCCATAAATAGGGCACCCCTCAATGATAAACAATCACATATATAGTCTTTTTTTAATTACTGTAAACCAACAGGATCTATTGCAACTCAAATATCGTGAGTTTATTGTTCTGGTCCTGTGGCACTGGCTTGGCCCACCAATACACCATGAACAAAAGTGGTAGCAGTAAGCATGCTTTTTCCGTCCTAATTTTATTTTTTTTTAAGATTTATTTATTTATGCATAGAAGACCTGGGGTACAGGCCAGAGATGCGGTGGGTGAGAGGATTCACCAGAGACAGAGTGGGGAGCAGAACAGGCAGATTGAAATACACTGCTGAGGGGAGCAGCTGGCGAGAGAAGAGAGGTCTGCTGTGCCATGTGGGTCACCTCCCTGGCCAGGGATCAAACTTGTGCTGCAGTGGCTACCCCTTGCATCACCGGGGAAGCCCCTCCCTAATTTTAAAGGAGTACTTTCAATATTTCTTTTTTGAAAAAGCTGTTTATTAGATGGCTTTGGTAAATGTTTTATCACAGGTTAGAGAAGTTTCCTTCTATACATTATTTGTGGAATTCATAAAACAGATTTTGAAAAGTATGTGTCATCTTTTGAGATGCTCATATGATTTTTTCTTTTTTAAAATGCTAAATGATGGGTTTCATTAATATTTTTAGTTGTTAAAAATCTTGCTTTCTTAGAACAAAACCAATTTTTGCTGTAATATTTTCATTTTTGTATACACTATTGGATTCTGTTGGCTGAGATTTTTTTTTTTATGATATACCCATAATTCTGAGGAAGATGGTCCTCTAGTTTTCTTTCCTTTTTTAAAGATTTATTCATTTATGCATATAAGAACTGGGGTAAGGCCAGAGGTGTGGGGGGTGAGAGGATTCACCAGAGAAAGTGGGGAACAGAACAGGCAGACTGACTGATATACACTGCTGAGGGGAGCAGCGGGCGAGACAGAAGGGGTCTGCTGCACCATGTGGGATGCTCCCTGGCAGGCCAGGGGATTGAACTCACTCTGCAGAAGCTGCAGATAGCTTCACAGTGCCGTGCTTAACCACTTACGCTACCAGGGAGGCCAGCTTTAGTTTTCTTTTGTCCTTGCCTTGTTTTGGTGTTGATCTTATTTTAACCTCAAGGAATTTGTGGGTACTGTTCCTTTTGTTTTTCCTCTTTCTATTCTCTGGAAGACTGTATAACATTTTGATGCAATTCCTTGAATACTTAGTGCGAGTCTTCTTTGGCGAGTCTTCTTTGAAGCTGTTGTGCATGCTGTTATTTTAAGATTTAAAATACCATTCAATTTCTCTGATGGTTTTCTAGATCTTGAGCTGTTTTTGATAATCTGTGATTTTCTAGGAAACTCACCATTTGGTCTTATATTTTAAATTATTGTTAGAAAAATGACAGTTTAAGTCTCTTTGTGTCTTGATCATTTCTAAAAGGGTTCATTTAGACTTCTTTTTTTCTTAACAATTGGGCCACAAAGAGGCCTCCCTGGTAGCACAGGGGTTAAAGTCTCAGCGCTATCAAGCTATTGCCAGCCACTGCCACATCAGTTCCATCCCTGCCAGGGAGTTGACCCACACGGCCAGCAGACCTGTCCTGTCTCTCCAGCTGCTCCCCTCAGCAGTGTATTTCAGTAGATCCACCTGTTCTGTTCCCCACTCTGTCTCTGGTGAATCCTCTTCCCACCCCCATACTTCTGACCTATACCCCAGTTCTTGTATGCATAAATAAATAATAATAAATCTTAAAAAAATAGTAATTGGGCAACAGGTTTTCTTCACTATTGTTTATTCATTTGGGAGCTCATTAATTTCTGTTCTTATTTCATTAAATTCTTCAATTCCCTTTGCATTCAGTCCATTTTTCTTTTACTAAGTTATTTACTGAGATTATTGGCTCACTGTTTCATATTTTCAGTTGCATGTATTTATGCCTGTACATTTTAAAAACATTCCTATAGCTACATCTTACAATTGCCATAACTAGAGTCTGATTATTTTCCTATAACCAGTGTTACAAATTCCACTTGATGGGAATTTGGTGGTAAACTTGGTTGCTTAAAACAACAGAAACTATTTTTTCTCATACAGCCCTGGAATCCTGAAGTCAGCATTACTAGGCCAAAATGAAGTGTTAGCAGGGCCAGACTCCTTCCAGATTGTTTAGGGGAGAAAACATTCCTTCCTTGCCTTTTCCAGCCCCCAGTAATCACTAGCATCCTTAGGCTTGTGGCCCATCTCTGATCACTCTGCCTCTTGGTCTCCCTGCCTTCTCTTCTGTGTCGATCTTAGATAGTAAATAAAAAAACACCATGAAAATCTGCAGAAGTGTATGGAATAAAGGGAGTCTTCACACTTTCATTTTGCGCTGCAACCTACTAATTACATAGTTCAGCCAGCTCTGCTTCCAGAACTCTTGTCACATGTATGTTGATGCGCTTGATACTGTTCCACAGCGTTCTGAGTCTCTGCCAATTTTCTTTTTCTTTTTAGACTTGAGACAGAATAATATGTACTGATCCATCTTCAAGTTTGCAAAGGCTTTTTTCTATCAGCTCAAACCTGGTGAGTCCGTCTAGTGAATTTCTCATTTCAGCTGTATTTTTCTTTTCTTTTTTTTTTTTTAAAGATTTATTTATTTATTTATTTATTTATGTATACAACAGCAACAGCTGGGGTATAGGGCAGAGATGTGGGGAGGTGGGCGGTGAGAGGATTCACCAGAGACAGAGTAGGGAACAGAACAGGCAGACTGACTAAAACACACTGTAGAGGGGAGCAGCAGGTGAGACAAGAGAGGTTGGCTGCACCATCCCCTGGCCAGCCGGGGATCGAATTGGGGCTGCAGAGTCTGCGGATTGCTTCATAGTGCGGTGCTTAACCCCTTGCGCCACCAGGGAGGCCTTCAGCTGTATTTTTCAAGTCCAGATTTTCTATTTGGTTCTTTCGAAATAATTAACATTTCTTATCAATATTCTCTATTTGTTGAGTAACTGTCATACTATAAGTCTTTAAAACATACTCCTTTAGTTATTTGAAAATATTTATAATAGCTAATTTAAAGTCTTTGGCTGCTAAGTCCAGCATCTGGACCCCTTCAAACAGTTTCTAGTTCTGCTTTTCCCTGTGTTTACACTTGGCTTTCCTGAGTTTCTTTACATTCAGGAAGACCAGAGTTTGTCAGTTCAACCCTTTAGTAGCTGTGTGACCTGGAGCAAGCTACTTCACCTTTCTGAGCTTCATTTTCCCTAAATGTGAGCTAGAAATTCCTCTGTTGGGAGGATTCTATGAGATCTGCCTCATTATTTTTCTTGGAAACTGAACATTTTTGATAATACGTTGTACTTCTGGATTCTGATCTCATAGGAGTTGCTGTTGAAGATGTTATCATTGTTAGTTGGGTGGCTGCTTGGTTGGTGTAATGACTTGTTTAGACTAATTCTAGTTTGTCTTCCTTGCAGCATGTGACCACCAAAGTCTGTTGTTCAGTTTGTATGGGTGGCAGAGGTGGTTAATTCTTGTTTTTATTCATAAGCCTGGCTCCCAAAGGATTACCTCTGAGTCAGCATAGCTTAGTGATCCGGCAATGTTCAGAAGTTCTCCTTATGTTAATATGACACCCAGCATTACTCAGGGACCCCAAACTGTTAAGGGGTACATGTTCTAAAAGGAATTCAGCCATCTGTGCACACAAAGGCAAATTAAGCAAACTCTTAGTGTGATTGATTTTTTTTTAATTTATTTATTTATGCATACAAGAACTGAGGTCTAGGCCAAGGTGGGGGCTACAGGGGGGAGGGATTCACCAGAGACAGAGTGAGGAGCTGAACAGGTGGATCTACAGAAATACACTGCTGAGGGGAGCAGCAGGCAAGACAGGGGAGGTCTGCTGTGCCATGTAGGTTAGCTCCCTGGCTGAGGATCAAACTTGTGCTGCAGATGCTTGTGATAGCTTGATAGCACTGAGACTTTAATCCCTGCGCCACTAGGAACAGCCCAATGTGACTGATTTTTAATATAATTCATGTGCTTAGAGAAAAGAAGAAAGGATGCAAATAATAGTTTCCCAAAAAAATGCCAAAAATTACCCATCTTCCCATGGGCAAGTGCCCAATCAAGCAGGTTTGTCCTAAAGCAGGGCTGCTGAGGCCCAAAAACTTGCTACAAATCTAAGTACCTTTTGGTGGGAAACCATAAGATAGGAATTTGGCTGGTCCCAGAGAGGTGGGACAGAAGAGACTCAGAATTCAAAACACAGCACATAATCCAACTTGAGGTCAAGATAATGGCTACCATTATCTCTGCCAAGGACCAGGAGCAGCGTCCCCATGTGTCTCTCTTCCAAGTATCTCTTCCAGTGTCTCTACATGTCTCTCTGCTCTGCTATGTCTCCTCCTGGCAGTACCAGGAGCAAGTCAAAGTCAGAAAAGCAAGAGATCAGGAGCACAAATGTGTTCAGTTGTAAGCCAAGCATGGCTGCTTAACTCTGTACCCAGCTCCTGACAGCCCCCCATTCAGGAAGTCAAGTTCTTGGCACCTGAGATGTCTTCTGTGTGGAGGTGGGGGTGCAGTCTGTAAAAACATCAAGGGTAAATTATTCCTCTAACACATAAATACCTTCATTCAGTGCCTTTGGCCCTTTGCCAAGAGGATGCACGTGTGGGTTGGGGCACAAAGTTCAGGCAGTGTACAAGCCTGACTTCATTTTCACTTTCTGCTTCATGAGGCCTCCTGCTTGGGGTTCCCTCCTGCATGCACACGTAGCCCTAAGTTTGTACAGTCTTCTAGGTCCCCAGCATATGTCAAAGTCCCCATAACTATGTTGGGCCCTTACCTCTTACCCCACCCCCTTGTTTTTTTGCTTGCTCCAGACAGCACTGTAACTTTAGGTGGCTATGACAATGGCCTTTCCCAATTATTTGCCACCAATTGGCACCATTTCTGTAATGTCACCCCTGACCAGGAACTTTTTTGCAGAGCTTCAATTGCTCAGTCCCTCCAGTAGCAGTGAGGTTGCCAGTTTCATGGCTGATCTGTCATGTCACAGGAAGGAAATAGGGGCAGTCTGGGGATAAAATGCCACAGACTCTATTGTAATTCAACAAGATTCAAGACTTTCTGAATAAGTGCCTTTCCATTTGTTTTATAAATTTGTTAAATTCCAGAGCACTCAAATGGTTGTTTTTTAATAATTTCCCTGGTATTATCATTGCTTCTTTTTGAGGAGAGGATTTGCCACGGTCTTCCCTTTGCTCCTTCTCCTCCTCAATCCTCACTGCTTCTTAAAATGCTCTACATAGAAGGTTCTTTTCCTGAAATATATACCCATTAGCTGAAATATACCAATTAGCAATTCTTTTTTTTTAAGATTGATTTATTTATGCGTACAAGAACTGGGGTACAGGCCAGAGGTGTGGGGGGTGAGAGGACTCACCAGAGACAGAGTGGGTAACAGAACAGGGAGACTGACTGAAATACACTGCTCAGGGGAGCAGCAGGCAAGACAGGTGAGGTCTACTGCGCCATGTGTGTTGCTCCCTGGCTGGCCGGGGATTGAACTCGTGCTGCAGAGGCTGCAGATTGCTTCATAGTGCGATGCTTAACCCCTTGTGCCACCAGGGAGGCCCAGCAATTCTTTCAGAAAGGATCTATGAGATAAAATGTTGGGGTTTTTTTATACATTTTTAGCTCACTTTACTACTGCAGGAATCTAAATGAACCTATGGCACCAACTTTGAATCAAATGACTCCATCTGGTCTCCAGCTGCTGAGACAAGACTTCTAGGTTGAAAGCAATAGCTAACTCAGCAACCTGACTCAACTCCTTATCAGTGACTAAGAAAGAACACCCACTCACTGATTTCTCCTTATTGCTAAGAAAGAAAAACACCCTGTCCTGTTCTCTCCTGAGACAGGAAGTCCATACCTGCTGAATGTTACTACAAAAAGACCCCACATTGCAACACACTGTTTAAACACGCCCATCAACCAATCAAAAATTTTTAAATAAATGACCTAAGCTTACTCAGACTCCTCCCTTGCTTAATTCTTTGAAGCTTGCCCATGCCCTGACTTTGACAGGACACATTTTCGGACTGCCCCTTGGTGCTAGACCCAAGTGGGTCCCTGTTCCTAATAAATGCTTTCTTGGTTATTATTTGTTGACAGACTTATTTTAATTATGTTAGTGGTTCATAGTGTTTCCTCATTCTTGAAACTCATGAGTCAAAAATTCTGGGATATTCTTAGTCATTATACCTTCATATATTACCTCTACCTCATTCTCTTCCTCATTCTGGAAACTACTTGACATGGGTCAAATATGCTGATTCTATGTCTGTGTCTTCTAACTTCTTCTTATTTTTTCACCTTTTCAGTTTTCTGTGCTTCCTCGAACCTGTTTTCCAGTTCACTAATGCTCTCTTCTACTGGTTCAGTCTGCTCTTAAATTTGCCCATTAAGGGTTTTATTGTAATCTTTATTTTGGTGACTACAGTTTTCATCTTTGGAAACTTCATTCAGTTCTTGGTCAAACCCTGAAGGTCTTATAAGTCTTTGTTTTCATGGGGCTTGGATTTCATATTTTATGTTTTTAATAATTCCTAACATACTGTATTTTACTCTCTCTTTCATGTTGTTGCATAGTTGCAAGATCTGTCAAGATCTGTGGGGGAGAATCAGGTGTAGGCCAGAGGCACAGGTGTGAAAGAATTCACCAAAGATAGGGTAGAGAACATAATAGGTGGATTTATTGAAATAAGCTGCTGAGAGAAACAATGTTTGAGCAGAAGGGGTCTCTGCACAAGGAGTGAGGCTCCTGAGGCTCTATTTATACTCCAGGCATCATTGACTGGTTAAGGTGGCTGGTCTTGGGTGTGTCTTGACTGTTGATCTGAATTAGCACAGAGGATCATCAGCTCTTTGGATCATCAGTTTAATGTCTGGGTTCCCATGACAGTTCCATCTACTCCCTTTATCCATTCAAGCCTCCAAATCTTGCCTGCTGGGCAAGGCATGGGGGCTTGGGTTTTTAAATTTAACAATGATACCACAACAAGATCTAGGAGTTCTGATTGTCCAAACAGTTGTGCCTTTGGAGTCCACACTCTTACATGTGGAAAATTTTCCCTCAAGGGTTTTGTGGTATCTTAACTGCAATGCAACATTTGTTTTTGGCTTTCATTTTATGCGACTCCCTTACAGCCTGGGGACATATCTTCAGGGCTCCCCACCTCCCTACCCCTCCACCAATCCTCACTCTTTTTTTCTTCCTCTGGTGTATCTTTGTTTCTGTTGTTTTCTTGGCTTGCAAGTTACAGAACCACCCCTGTGGAGTGTCTGGAATTCCAGGCACAGGTCAAGAGCATTGAGTTCTCAGGTTGGTGCAGACAGCTTACTTATGTCCTCCCTCACCCCTCAGCTCCTTCCACCCCAGTAGACATATTCTTTCTAGTTGTCCTTTCTTGGAGATTGTGGCTTTTCAACTGTCATTCTTTCCAGGGATCTTGGGTGCAGTTTCCATTTTAGGTGGGTCTAGGCTGCAATATTTAACAACAACAAAAAAA